CCATATCCCTAGCCTTTTATTTTGGGACAAGGCCTCACTAAGTTGCCCAGGGCCTCACTAAGTTGCTGAGGCTGGCTTTGAACTTGGAATCTTTCTGCCTCTGCCTCCAGTTGCTGGGATTATAGGTGTATATGTACCCAGCTTGTTTTTTATTTTTTAATTAAATATTTTTAAAACATTATACATGTACATATTTGAAATTCAAATGCTGTATAGTGAAATTTTGTTTGCCATTCTATCTAGTCGTCTTAGCTCAACTCAAAAACAGTTAGTTTCTTCTGTGTCCTTATAAGACTATACCATGTTTTTGTGACATTTATGTACATAATTTTTAGAATGTTGTATGGGGCTGGGGATGTGGCTCAAGCGGTAGCGCGCTCGCCTGGCATGCGTGCGGCCCGGGTTCGATCCTCAGCACCACATACAAACAAAGATGTTGTATCCGCTGAAAACTACAAAATAAATATTAAAAAAAAAAAAAAGAATGTTGTATGTTTAAGAACACAGAATTACATACTACTGTCATAGGTAATAGTCTGTACCTTTTTTTCCCCTTTATGTGTGTGTGTTTCCCTTTAAATATGAGGTCATATATATATGAGGTTTTTTTTTAAAATCAGCATTAGTAAGACCTGCGTCTTTCTTGATAAGGACACAGCTAACATGCTACATGGCAAAGCCATTTCAAATAATAGAAAAAAGTCGAGGAAGGTTATGACCATAAATATTTTATAATTTAGCTTTTTATTTATTTTTTATTCTGGAGAGTGAATCCAGGGTGCTTTACCAACGAGCTACATCCCTTTTGCTTTACCAAAGAGTAAACATTAAATATATGATATTAGTAACTTTTGTGCTTGACATAATCAAATTTAACTCTGATATTGGCACTGTTCTAGAATGGTGGTTAAGCTACCTTAACCATTTTATTTATTTTTTATTTTGACACAGGATATTGCTAAATTGCTTACCCTGGCCTTGAACTTGTGATTGATCCTTTTACAAGATTACAGGCATGTGTTACTATTCCTGACAACATAGTTCTTGAGATTTTTAGTAATGTAACAATTTTTAGTTAATATAATAAAGAAATAAATAACCAGTACAAATGTTAGAATAGGAAACTCTGCAGGTATGACTATATTTAATTATTCGAATATCTATATCAATATCTACTGGAAAATCATTGGCTTTTACATTTTACAAAATTATTTGGGTCAAAGTTATCCAGTTATTGTTTGCTGTAATTCTCTCTCTTTTTCTCTCTTTATTGTGGTACTGGGGATTGCACCCTGGGGTACTCCACTAAGCAACTTTCCCAGTCCTTTTTGTTTTTTATTTTGAGACAAGGTCTTGCTGGCCTTGAACTTGTGAACTCCTGTCTCAGGTTCCCAAGTCACTGGGATCATAGGCATGTGCCTCTGCACCCAGTCACTGTTTGCTTTAAGAATGAAATTCTGACTGTATAAATATTTACAATTATTATGTGTCAATTAAATAGAGAAAACTAAAGTTCTTGTTTTTTCAGATTTTAACACATTGCAGAAGTGGCCTATCTGATAATGGAGTAAACATTGAATATATGATATTATGATATTATAACTTTTATAAATATATGATATTATAACTTTTGTGCTTAACATCATCAAATTTAACTTTGATATTGGCACTATTCTGGAATGGTGGTTAACCACTGTAAGGTCTCACAACCTCAGAAGCGGTGGTTAAGGAAGGTTATGACCATAAATACTTTATAATACCACCTGTAGAGTGGTATTTATGTGGAGAAGCACTATTAGGTCTTGTCATTTTAAAGAGGGTAGATCTTGGGCTGAGGTTGTGGCTCAGGGGTAGAGCACTTGCCTAGCATGTGTGAGACACTGGGTTCAATTCTCAGCACCGCATATAAATAAATAAAGTCTATTGACAAAAAAAAAAAAAATTGAAAAAAAAAAAGAGTGTAGGTCTTAGCATTTAACATTTGGTGGATGTTTCTGTTTTTTTAGTTGTTTAATTTATAAGTAAGCTTATTATGTTTTAAAAGGTTTACTACACAAATGGATACATTGGGTATTGAAATAAGATCTCTAATTTGAAAAGCAATGTAAATTATGTCTGTGAATAGGTATGAATTAGAGTAACTGGCAGTTACTTTATGGTATAAATATGGTGTAAATTTGATAAGTGAAATTTGTCAAGAAGTACTTTTTCTCCAACTTACCATAAGTTTCTACTTTATTAATAGTATGTATTTTGTAATTAGTATTTAAAATGTGACACTAATTACATTTATTAATGATTTTAAAAAACTTTAACTTGTGTTTTGTTTGAATTTCAGGTAATAACTTTCCAATACTTTGTATTTTGTTTAGTATGCCACTTTTTGGAAGTGGCCACTGTCAATATCTTGTTATGGTTTGATGGCCTTGGAGATTTAAAACCGAGTAAAAGTGTAAGCAGCCTTTCTTATTTAGTTATGAGTTTTAAATCCACTTTTGTTCCAAGTAGGGAAAGTTTAAAGTAGATTTACCATGAATTATGAGTTACATTAAAAACAGCTGACTTAGCAAGAACAGACTGGCCAGTTCCACTAATGGAATTATAACATAAAATTCCTGAAACAAGTCCCATTTAAAGTAGTGGGTTTTACTAGTCCATTAGATCTTCCTTGCCCAACTTTATTAATGTGACTATACGTATCATTTTTTTTTTTTAAGATGTTGATGGACCTTTATTTATTTATTTAAATGTGGTGCTGAGAATCGAACATGCTAGGCAAGCGCTCTACCCCTGAGCCAACAACCCCAGCCAAACATACCTGCTTTTTTAAAAATAAAAACTTAAGTGAATTCCTAAAGAAAATAGAATATAATAATTTTCCCCCTCAAAATTCCATATTATTTATTAATTCTTTAGTATTAATCACTAAAAATTATTATAGATTCTTTGTTCATATTTATTGTCCCAGTAATCTGTAATTCTGAAGAAAAAGCATTCATTCAGGGAGTATAGGTTAGTATGGGATTGCCTGCTTATCATGCCTTAAGCCCTGGGTTCGTCAACAATAACAAAACAACAACAAAAGTATTCATTGTCCCCTCAGATGTTCACAGATGTCTGATTTAAAAAAAAAAAAATAACCATCACAGATGGTCTGTTCAATTAAACTTCAGTTGAGGAGTTATGATTTTCCAACATGATTACTTTAAGATGTGGCACTTGTCCTTGGTGATGGTTTGCTACAGAGGTCTGAAATTTTCATTTAAGTTACTTTCAAACTAGTTTGAGGCACATAAGAAAGCTTTGTTTTTGTGTAGAAACAGTTTGTAATTTGTCATTCGCTTATTTTGTAAACTTGCAATTCTCATGATTTTGGACTTTTGCAAAAAAGCAGATTCAGTTTTAGAAGATGAAGATTTGACTTTAATATCATCCAAAATAATATGTCAAGAGAAAGAAAGTCAAAAACATTTTGACCAATGTCAACATTGCTCTACAACATTCTAAAATAACAGTATGAAACACTAGAATATACAAGTTTTGTATGATTGGCTAATTTCTTTATAGTTATACCATATCTTTGATTTGTTAGACTGTCATGCTCTGGACCTTGTTAAAAATAGGCTTTAAAAAGATCAATTACAAATTCAACATTTTTTTTTTTTTTAAAGAGAACGAGAGAGTGAGGGGGGTTAGAGAGAGGGAGGGGGAGAGAGAGAGAGAGAGAGAAGTTTAATATTTATTTTTTTTAGTTATCGGCGGACACAACATCTTTGTTTTTTTGTATGTGGTGCTGAGGATCGAACCCGGGCCGCACGCATGCCAGGCGAGCGCGCTACCGCTTGAGCCACATCCCCAGCCCACAAATTCAACATTTTTGAGGGTTTTTTGGTAGCTTGATTTATAAATGGGATTATTGTTTTGCCATGCATGTACATTTGGCAGATGACCACTAGATAATATTTTTTGTTGTTGTTTTAAAGAAAGTCATACACTGAAGTTGGTTTTGCTCTATACAACAGTAGAATTCATATTTAGTATTTTGTATTTGTTCATTTTAATAATTTGTTAATTAATTTAATTTTTTTTTAATATCATTGTTCACCTGATTGAGGTAACTGAGTTTGTTTTGTTCCTTTTTTGCTGATTATAAGTCATTGGTCTTCTCTGTGTACAATAGTATGCAATCAGTATTCCATTTGGATTGAACAGATAGCACTAGTCTTTAATGATGGAGTAATTGGCTACATTTTTCTTCTTGTGCATGAAGTTTTCTTAAAAGAGCAATCCATACAGAATAATCGACAGAGAGCATGAATTTTAGGTTAAAACATTTTATCTCACTCTTGCTGCTTACTAATTATTATGACCTTCAGCAAGCTATATAACTTTTCAGTCTCAGTTTCCTCATCTGAAAAAATGGGGACAATACCTATTTCCAAATTTATAATTATAAATATTTGAAAAACTCTATGAACAGTATTGTATGTCAGGCATTTAATAATAAATGTTTCCTTTCCTGTTCCCATCTTCATGTACTTGTAATTTGAGACTTAGGTTAAAAAAGTTAAAGAACTTTGAGCCAGGCAAGGTGGCTCACGCTTGTAATCCTAGTGATTCAGGAGGCTAAGGCAGGAGGATCACAAGCTCCAGATCAGCCTGAGAATTTAGCAAGACCTGTCTCTCAATCAAAAATAAAAAGGAATGGGGAAAGGGGGTGTAGTGTAGTGGTAAAGGACCCTGGGTTCAATCTCCAGTACCAGAAGAAAAAAAAATAAAGAACTTTCTGAGCATTTACCTAAACTAGATTTGAAAAGTTATTTTAGGATTAGTTTGCCATTTACTTCAGACTGTTCTCTCCAGTGCAGGAGTGTTTGAGAAAGGAAAGAATGATTTGAACATTGTAAATAGCTAACGGAATATAGTATCTTGAGCACATATTTTTGATAATTGTACTTAACATATCCATAAAAGTGTTTTTTATTTATCTTTAATCACAGGTACAGGAACCTTAAAGATAGATTTTGTTGGAGAGCTGAATGACAAAATGAAAGGTTTCTATAGAAGTAAATATACTACCCCTTCTGGAGAGGTGCGCTATGCTGCTGTAACACAGTTTGAGGTATGTGTTATTCTTCTCTAACATTATGATTTTTAACCATGTTACAAAACTTGATTCTATTTGGGATAATTATTTGAGACTAGATGCCTTTGAACATAATTATAGAATATTTTATATTCAGCCATTGTTTCTATCTTCAAAATGGAGAGAATTAAGTGTGTGTGTTGGGAATGATTATATATAGGTGTATACACATACACACATACATTCAGGGAAAGAAGTTTCAATACCTGCCAGAACTGTTGTGTCCTCCCCACCCCGTATTGGGGATAAAAGCCAGGGATCCTCTACCACTGAGCTACATCCCCCCTGTATCCCAATTTATTTTCCCCCTGAGACAAGATCTCACTAAATTGCATAAGACTGGCCTCAAAATTGTGATCTTCCTGCCCATCACCCTTATGAATCTCTAGGATCACAGTCATGTGCTACCATGCCTCGTTTAATTGCTTTTATACTATGTGCCTTTCTTAATTGCCTTTCTCAATTTTATATTTGATAACTATGGGTTTTCCTACTACATTATTAGCTATTTTGTGGCATTCCTTTGCTGCTACCACTGCTTCCTTTGTGTGTGTGTGTGTGTGTGTTGCTGGGGAATGAACTGAGGGCCTTGCACATGCTTGGCAAGTATTCTACCACTAAGCTACAGCCTAACCCTTTTTTTCAATTTGAGATGGGGTCTCATTACATTGCCCAGGCTGGTCTCAAACTTGGTAGTCCTGTCTCAGCCGCCTGGGTAGGTGTATGTCACCATACCTGGCTATTTTGCTCCTTTGACATTTCCTTTGTTTATCTTACTTACGGTATTTGTGCTTTCTTTCAAGTGTAAGTTATATAAATTGTTTCAAATCTGCTAATGGTATTTTTATGTGTTAAATCTAATTAAATTTATTTCTGTAAATTTCAATATGAATTAATGATAGAATTGATGATGTCCATTTTCCAAATTCTTTGTTTATCCTTGGACTGTTTGTTTTGTGTAACCTGAAATTTTAGGTGCAGTTTAGTGCAACTTATTTTACCTGGTATATATTCTCTTTCAAGAATTTTAAACCTTCTGGATTTTTTTGTTTGTTTGTTTTTGGTACTGGGGATGGAACCTAGAGGCACTTAACCACTGAGCCACATCCCCAGCCCTTTTGTGTATTTTATTCAGAGACAGGGTCTTACTGAGTTGCTTGGGGCCTTGCTGGGTTGCTGAGGCTGGCTTTGAACTTGCAATCCTCATGTCTTAGCCTCACAAGCCACTGGGATTACAGGCGTGCTCCAGTGCGCCTGGTTCCTTCTGTTTTTTTTTTTGTTTGTTTGTTTGTTTAATTTTTAGTTGTAGGTGGACATAATACCTTTATTTTTCTTATTTATTTTTATGTGGTGCTGAGGATCGAACCCAGTGCCTCATGCATGCTAGGCAAGTGCTCTACCACTGAGCCACACCCCCAGCCCTCCTTCTGTTATTTTAATATAACATTTGCCACTACTGTTTAGGCTTAATTCTGTCTGAATGATTCTAAAGCCTTTTTGTAATCCTTTGAACACTTCATCCTGGAATGTATCCAAAACAATTTTCCTTCCTTCCTTCCTTCCTTCCATGTGTTAAATCTAATTAATCTTATTTCTGTAAATTTCAATATGAATTAATGATAGAATTGATGATGTTCATTTTCCAACTTCTTTGTTTATCCTTCTTTGTCCTTCCTTCCTTCCTTCCTTCCTTCCATCAGGGATTGAACCCAGGGTCACTTAATCACAGAGCCACTTCTCTAGCCCTTTTTTATTTTTTGAGACAGGTCTCACTTAGTTCCTTAGGGCTTGCTAAATTTCTGAAGCTGGCTTTGAACTTGGAATTCTCCTTCCTCGGCCTTCTGAGCTGCTGGGATTACAGGCGTGTGCCACCTTGCCTGGCCTCCAATTTTTTTTTTTTTTTTTTTTTTTTAAAGAGAGGATGTATGTGTGGTATAATTTCTGAGCGTTTACATATTTGAAAACCTTTTATTTGCCTTTATACTTGATCAGTTTTACTGGGCATATAGATTTGTTGATGAAAAACAAAAGAGCTATCTGGAAGCTGCTCTGGTCTGTGTTTTTCTCCTGTTGGTCATAAACAATATCACAAAATACCAACCTCAGATAAGGGAAATCTGAGACCATGATAAAGTGAGACAAAACAAGAATACTTCATAATTTCATCTAGGCATAGACAAAAACAAGGTCATTTTGCTATTCACAAAATACCAAATATCTCCATTTGTCTGTTAAAATGAGTGACTACTGCATTTTTACCCCTTATAGTTTTGTGCTTGCTCTAGTCTGCCCTCCCTATGGATTTTTTTAAATACCCACTCTTAGAATTGCCCTTACTTGCTCATGTGCTCTTTCTCTCTTGTGGCACTGAGGATGGAATCAGTGGCACTCTACCACTGAGCTACATCTCCAAGCTTTTATTTTTTATTTTGGTCTTTTTAAGTTGCCTAGGCTGGCCTCAAACTTGTGATCCTCCTGCCTCAGCTTCCCAAACTGCTGGGATTATAGGCATGTGTCACTGTGCCTAGCTCCTGCCCCTACTTTCTGACAGCACTCAACCTGGAGTGAATCTCTGCTTCCTAGTCCCAGCGTACCCAGCCAAATCATATAATAGGGTGGTGAAACATCCTGTAGTTCCCTGTGGTATGAATTCTTGCAGCAGTGAGTAGTAAGCCCAGTTTGTTCAACTATAAGAATAATACAATTAGCTTAAAATCTTTTCCTTTCAAAAGTCTATAAATATTTTTCCAAAGTCATTCGCAACTTATTTTATCAAGAGGAATCACAGACTAGAGTGTTTCTTCTTTGTAGGTAACACATTATTTTGTTTTGCTTTGTTTTCTTCCTTCTCAAATTATTTCTTTTTTGGGTGGGGCTGGGGCAGGTACCAGGGATTGAACTCAGGAGTGCTTAACCACCGAGCCAAATCCCCAGTCCTTTTTAAATTTTATTTAGAGACAGGGTCTCACTGAGTTGCTCAGGGCCTCATTAAATTGCTGAGGCTGGCTTTGAACTTGAGATCCTCCTGCCTCAGCCTCTGGAGCCACTGAGGTTACAGGTGTGGGCCAATGCGTCCAGTATCAAATTATTTCTTGATCCTGAAAATTAAAAAAAAAAAAAATTACCAGGAGCTAACTTTTCAATAGTTTTGCATATTACTTGGTGAACCCTGTTGGTTTTTCAGATTCAGATCTTCCTTCAGTGTAGCATAATTTTCCCATTACATTTTCATTGTAGTATCTGCTGTGATCTCTTATTCAGGAACACCAGTTAGTAATAAATTCAGCTCCTGTATTTCTCAAATGAACCTTTCATTGCTTTTATCACTATATCCTTTGGACATTTTAAAATTTAAATCTTGTTATCTATGTCATTTATTTAATATTCTCAAGTATGAATTCATTTCTCTACAGCTGCTGCTTCTAATTTAAAAATTTCTTGTGCTGTAATTTCTTTCATTATATCATGTTTTCTAATATCTTGTGTATTCATTGATAGAATCATATGATTTACTTAAATTTGAGTGCACTGTTAGCTAGCCATCTAACATTTTACTCTTGAAGAAATCCTTTTTCAGAAATAATATACTACTTCTGCATATTTTATTTCTTTTCATGTTTTTATCATTCGTTCCATTTTATGATTGTGTTCTGATTCTAAAGTTCCTTTTATTATTACTGATATCCTTCAGAGACATTATATTTTACCTTGCATAAAAAAGTGCATTCTTTTTGATTTTGATTGGTTAATTTTTTTTTTTTTAAATAAATGGAACTGGGATTGAACCCAGGACCCCGAGTATTCTAGGCAAGCACTCTAACACCGAGCTACATCCCTAGCCCTTTTTATTTTATTTCAAGACAGGGTCTTGCTAAATTGCCCAGGCTGGCCTCGAACTTGCAATTCTCCTACCACAACTTCCCAGGTAGCTGATTTTTTTTTTTATTTTTAAAGAAAAATTGAGGTCTTTTTAAGTAGGTGAGGTGGTGACAGTTTTACTTGTAGTGTATGGAAATGCCATTAAACTAATGACCTGTTATGAATTGACAGAGCATCTATATTTATTCCCGTTGCTGCCATTCCAGATAACAAACAAACAAACAACAAAACACACAAACACATCAAAGACTGAGAATACTTTAATTTTAAAATAAAAGCGAGAGAGGCAGCCTTTCATGTTTTCTCAGCTCTGAATCCTTACAGCATACTGTTGAGTGTTCTGTGCTTTGTGTTATGTTAGCATTACTGGTGAAGTCAATCACATTAAATTTGAAATGTTTTATTAAAAGCAAAAATATAATTACAAACAATTCCCATATCTTGTTAAGATCTATAGCAGACCTAGTTCCTAGATAATTGCTGGTATGACAAAGGGAGCAAGCATTTTATTTTCTTAGTAGTTAGTATTGTAGCTTGTTGCCTGGCATTGATCAAATGAAGGAATGAATGATGGAGAAATGGTGACTATGTCTTGAAATTACCTTTTAGGTGAATTTTATGGTACTTTGATATTTAATTTTTGTGGTATTTAATTTCGTGGTATTTTCATATTTTTTTCTTAAGGCTACTGATGCCCGGAGGGCTTTTCCTTGCTGGGATGAACCTGCAATCAAAGCAACTTTTGATATCTCACTGGTTGTTCCTAAAGACAGAGTAGCTTTATCAAATATGGTATGTTTGTGTTTTACAAGTCCATTTAAATATTTAATAGGCTTAGGTATATTTAGTTTGCTGATTAGGTTGGATAACATGAAACCACTAGTACAGTGCTTAGTATATAACAGAAACACCAGTATTAGTTTTCTTTATTTTCAGGTAAGCCCTCTTTTTCATAGTTGCCTTATTTTTTGGAGAGTTTTCCTCCTCATGGAAGAAATTTCTTGTTAAATACATGAATAACATTATCTACTTCTTTATTAAAGACATAAAAAGAAATTTAAAAGATATTACCTAAATGAAAAAGGTCTTAATTTTCTTATTAAATACCAGAAGTTATAGCTATAAAGTGTATTTTCTCTTCATTACTGTCATTGATCTCATTCATAAATAAAGTAAGCATTCATCACTTGAAGTGTATTGTCTAGAATTGCCTTGTTTAAGACATGTAGTAGCCTGCAGTTTATAGTGTGACTCTGAGGCACTTGGAAAAACCTACTGTACCTGAAAATAAGTAGTTTTTGTCTATTTATTAGAGGAGAGAATTCCATAGATAGAATGTCATTCTCTTCTTAAATATTCCTAGAGAGGAAACTAACATATTAAACTGAAATATTAATTTATATTTTAGTGTAAATGAATTTATTAGGTTCTATTCTTGAATAAATTTTCCTTGGAAATTAGAAAGAGTTTGAATAGGACAAAAAGAACACCAGAGAAAAATTAATTTCTAAGGGTAAAGTGAACATTTCTTATAAATTTGCTCAGATCCAGTCTTATTGTAGAGACTGCTTGAGATCTAGAAATCTGTACCTTTAAAATATAATCCACTGTTATATTTATTTTTATTGATAATTTTTCTCCTATCCTTATTTCATTTGAAAAGTTTTTGAGATCTTACTTAAAACATCCCAGTGTCTGGTATATAATAAGAATTCAAAAAAAGTTGATTTCTTTTTTTCTCTCACAAGTCTTCGTAATTTGAATATTTTAGCCCCCAGCTGTTTGTATGAGTGCTTTATCAAATCACTCTCCTTGAGAGGAAAGATCTTGGTAGCACTGGATGAATTGGGATGGAAAAGCAAGCCATTTTGGAAAGTAGAAAAGAAAAACATTGAAATCTGCAGCTTTTGGCTAGTGTTTACTCTTAGGTATTAGTGTAAATCTGTTTAAATTTTCTTTATTCTCCCTGTCTTTTTTTTTAAAGAATGTAATTGACCGGAAACCATACCCTGACGATGAAAATTTAGTGGAAGTGAAGTTTGCTCGAACACCTGTTATGTCTACATATCTGGTTGCATTTGTTGTGGGTGAATATGACTTTGTAGAAACAAGGTCAAAAGATGGTGTGTGTGTTCGTGTTTACACCCCTGTTGGCAAAGCAGAGCAAGGAAAATTTGCGTTAGAGGTAAATGTACTTGAAGAGGATTGTTCCAACAGTCCATAATTCCAGGTTGGGGAATTTACATTTCTGATCAATTACTTAGTACCATTATTTATAATTTAATCTGAAAGTTGTTGTGTTACTTTGGTTTTATTTTTAATAGAACTTTGGAAATACCAACTTTGATGTTGTATTAACATTTTACAAAATGATTCAGAGAATATAAGTCAGACTTGGGGTGTAGCTCAGTAATAGAGCACTTGCTTAGCATGCACAAAGTGGTGGGTTTAAACTCTAGCTCTGAAAAAAAAAAAGATTATATATAAAAGTAAAATTTATTTATTTAGGAAAAGGGCAAGAAAATATGTAGTTATATTTTTTTCATACCAAATTACAAATGGATTAGGGTTTGGCCAATGTATACAAAGCTTGGGGCTAAGGCAGTCTTTGGAAGTAGGGCTCCCTGGGATTGATTTCTAGTAACTTGAGATACTTTGGTTTGCAACAGGTTTCCTTTGTGGATTTCTATATGAATTATAATAAAATACTTATCAGATGGTTCTTTTGTTTATACTTTTATAGGTTGCTGCTAAAACCTTGCCTTTTTATAAAGACTACTTCAATGTTCCTTATCCTCTACCTAAAATTGATCTCATTGCTATTGCAGACTTTGCAGCTGGTAAAGTAAATTTCATTTTATTGCTGAATTGTAATAAATTTATTTGAATTTTGAGATTTTTGAGGAAGAAACATTCATATGTATCAATAAATGTTTATATTTATTTTATGAAGGTGCCATGGAGAACTGGGGCCTTGTTACTTATAGGTATGTTAATGATGCATTACTCTGCCCTATCTTTCTCATCATTGTCTTCATAAGGGCTTCCTCCTAATCACAGTTGAGAAGCTTCTGCTTTATGATCTGGTATAAATTTTTCTGGCTCCCTCCAGTTCCATGCACATTTCAAAAATGCAGATGGACATCCCCCTCTGGTGCTACTATCTTTGCATGTAAAATTTTAAAAGTGAGCATCTGGCATTAGTAGCATTTTTGGATATATTCTTGGCTGAGTCTTTCATTTCAGTGCCTTTCCTTCCTCCAGTAGTTTGATAGTTATTTATCCAGTTTGAAGAACCTCTGATTTCATATCTTCTAGCCAAGTTTTTACATTTCTGTCACCACAACACAACCATGTGGTTGTGTAAATTTTAAAACAAAGTCTGTAAACATTTTTTTTTGCCTTCTACTTTCAATTGCCTTTTTAGATGCACTAAGTTTTGGACATCCTGTTCAGTGTTCTTTTCGGGACATTGGAATGCATCTTTCCCCACCACTTCCCTCAGTTAATGGAAGGACTTCTTCTCTACCACAATTATCCCTAATCCCTTAGACAAAGTGTTTCTAAAATTTCAGAAAACAAACAGATAATTAAACTGTTTCACATCTATTTGGGGTAGTCTTGAATATTCCTGGAATTTTTTCTATCCTGTGTATGCTAAAAAATGTTTTCTTGGTATCTAATTGATCTGAATGTTCCCCACTTGTGCAAGTCTGCTTTTATTACAATATTTTAATTGTTTCAATTTTTTCCCCCTTTAACACAGGGAGACTGCATTGCTTATTGATCCAAAAAACTCCTGTTCTTCATCACGCCAGTGGGTTGCTCTGGTTGTGGGACATGAACTCGCCCATCAATGGTTTGGAAATCTTGTTACTATGGTATTTAATATTTTTAAGTGCTCAAATATATTTATTTTCATCTTGCTTTGTATTATTTTGGCCACATTATGTTTCAGGATTGGCTGTAACATTGTGCCAAAAATAATTGATTCAAAAATTTTATTTTAAAAGATCTACTTTGAAAAGCATTCATAATCTCTGTGTTGATTGAGAACATATGGACAATTTAACTTGTTCTATAATTGGTCTGCAAATGGGGAATTTCAAGATACTAAATTGGGTGAGAAACATTCCTCTTTGGTAAAGATGAATGTATCATGCAGTGAGATTCCAGGCTAACTGTAGTTTCTTGAGTCATCTTTGTGGTTCACTAGCTGAAATGTAACCAGATAAATAACAAACTGATCTTTGATTAGATTGAAATGTTTGGGGGGGCCATTTTGTTGTTTCCTAAGATATTAAGTTGAAATATGATGAAATGAAAGTTAAAAAAAAAACCAAAAAGCTAAAAGTACAGAATGACTACAGAATAAAGGTATATTAAAATTTTAACAGTGCTGTTGAAATCCTCATTTATCAGAGTGTTTGCAGTGAATAATCTGTACATTAGTCCTGACCTTTCACTCTTACTCTAAATAAATCCTGTCTATGGAAGCCCTTAGGAGCACAGGATATTAAGTGAACTAAAAGTATCTCTGCAGTGAAAGAACTGGAGATTGTAGAGCCAGCCAGATTCCTTGATAGCATTTTAGGCTGCTAAAGAGTTGATCCTGGCTTGAATGTTGTTTAAATTCATATGTATGTTTTAGAAACAAGCAACAAAGTATGGCATTTAGCAAGTATGACATGCCTGATTCAGTCCTTGAAAATAAACTCTTTCCTTTACCTTTGAATATTTAAAATTTTACTTACAAGTGAAAAAAATTTTTTGAAATAAAATTTCATGTGGAATTATGTGTGTTAGTGCCTGCATTCAAATACATGCAAAAATTTATCTTTTAATGAAGCAAGTTTGCTACTTTCTATCAAATTTTTTTCCTTAGCTTTTAGAAAACTATGATTTTATTTTGAAACTACCATAAATTTTAGTAAAGGAAATGTGTGCATATTGTTTACCAGCAACTTTTTACTGGATTTATATAACTGTTCTAATTATTATAGATGTGAGTTGTTTGATAAACTGAAACTCCATGTGGGTTGAAGAACAGTTTATTTTAATAATAGAGTCTACTAGTTAAGTAGCACTGAGACAAGTAGCCACCTATCATATAATGTTAAAAGTATTTGATCTTTTCAGTATTTCTAAATACGTTTGTTTTACACTAGGATTTTGGTCTCTGCCTTAGATTAATATATGTCCTTCCTTTGCTAAGAAATTTAATCAACTTTTTTATTTTTTTAATAGATGGACACCATACCTTTATTTAATTTATTTATTTTTTTAATGTGATGCTGAGGATCACATATGCTAGGCAAGTGCTCTACCACTGAGCTACAACCCCAGCCCCTATAATCAACTTTAATAAAAATTAGATTAAGATAACTGTCTAAAAAGTTGACTTTTAAAAAATGTAATTTTTTATTTTTATGTCACCCATTTGTTCTTTGTTCATTTCTCCCTCTTCCTCTCCCCTGTCTTTCTTTCTCTCTACATATATATACATATATATATATATATATATATATATATATATATATATATACACAAAATACCTTTATTTTACTTATTTTTATGTGGTGTCGAGGATCAAACCCAGTGCCTCACACATGCTAGGCAAGTGCTCTGCCACTGAGCTATAACCCCAGCCCCTCGCTAAATATTCTTAAAATAGTGAGAATTTTGTATTCTATAAATGCTTAAATACCATTCATTACAGAACTACTTCCTGCCATGACATTTCTGTTAATTTCACATAAATCTTATTGAAGTAGTATTGTTTTTCTATTTATCTAGAAAGTTCAACTCAGCTTCTCATTTTTTTTTCCCTAGTCATTATAGAAATAATTTCCAGTTTTCCTGTTTTGTTCTGATAGCTTTCTGGGTTTCTTGTTGTTTGTTTAAGAAAAATTTGTAACTACATTTTATGTAACGATACCTCTGCTCTTACCTGTATTTATCTTTTCTCTTTTCCTATTCATCTATAGGTTCCTTCCCTCCCACTTTCCTTCTTTTCTCCTTTGGTAGTAAGAAGTTATTTAAGCAATGTTTTGAAAATGTCTCTCAGTCATGACTCTGATATCACTAGTTGGTCTTTGTTGACATCTGATGCTTCTCTTTTTTTCACAAATGTTTTCAATTTAATTTTAGTTGATTAAATCGTAAGTTTTGGAGGATAGTAGAAGGGACATGCTTTTCAAATTAGTGGAATTGCAGTCATTTTGTTTTTTTCAAATATTTCAACCTTTTGTTTTTAGGAATGGTGGACTCATCTTTGGTTGAATGAAGGCTTCGCATCCTGGATTGAGTATCTATGTGTAGACCACTGCTTTCCAGAGTATGATATCTGGACTCAGTTTGTTTCTGCTGATTACACCCGTGCCCAGGAGCTTGATGCCTTAGATAACAGCCATCCTATTGAAGTGAGCTATACTTTCCAACCATTGGCTTATGGCTGCTTTCCTTTCAGTGAAATGAATAATTAGTTAAGGAGAAGCTTAGGATTCTGAGAGCAAGAAAAATTGCACGAATGGTTCCACTTTTTTTAAAATTGCAATACTGGGAATTGAACTTAGGAACTTGTACATTCTAAGCAAGTGCTCTGCCACTGAGCTATATCCCTATCCTTCACTTGTTTTTATAGTTCATATTTCCAGTCTTGAAGATCTAAAAAGAATAAGTTCTAATTAATATTTCATTTTAAGGTAGCTCATATAAAAATTTTGGACGGTGCTATGTACATTTTTGTAGAATGATACTGTAGGAACCATATGTCTTAAATAACACTATGATTCCATTGTTTCTCTCAAGGAAAATGCTGGACAGATTATTTCATTATTGTCATTATGTTTTTGTGCATATTTTAATTCTCTTGAGTTAGCCTATCCTTACTTCAGTTAGTATATACATATATATTTTACATTCAGAGAACTAGAGTTATAATCCTACTTTGACATACTTAGCTAAGATTGATATATTTATGAATAGTTAAAATTAACATAAGAAATCAAATGTTTTACATCTCTATATTCCTTTCCCTCCCACTCCCCACCAAGAATAAACAGAGCTGTAACAACTTGCCTGCCAGAAGAGCAGAGTCAGGACTAGAACCTAGGCTCTGAAAGATAACGGGGATTGTGTTATATATTCTACTTCATTAACACTAGTTACTGTGCCCTTTTGAGGGTTAAGATACACATTGTGAGTGATCTAAAGGCAGAAAACTATAAGTTAGAAGGGTTTTCCTAGAAAGCTCTTTATGTAATTCAGTATTACAGGCTGTCTGCTTCCTGTCATAACCCTGAATCACACTGTCTGCCAGGTCAGTGTGGGCCATCCATCTGAGGTTGATGAGATATTTGATGCTATATCATATAGCAAAGGTGCATCTGTCATCCGAATGCTACATGACTACATTGGGGATAAGGTAAAAGAGCAATTTTTTTTTAAATCTTCCATTCTTTTGTGGTGAAATCCTAAATTTTGCATGGATAAAATGTCTGGCTTTTTAAAAAATTAAGTTCCTAGGTAATTTTTGGCTTATCTTCATTTCTTTTTTTATTTACTGTTGTGATCTCTTAGAAGAAAAATGTGCCAAGTATGTTTTGGGATAGGAATGGGAGGCTGATTTAAAACTTTAAGTAGAAGACTAAGTGTATACATTCTTAAAAGGTAGTAAATGTTAGAGGGATAGATGTTTTTCAGTATATCTGATACTTAAGTAATTGAGTAAATTTTGCTTTTGACTACTAATATGCATATATACTGTAAATTCCAAAATCTGACTCTTCTGGATTTAAAAATTGTGTTTTCTCAGGACTTTAAGAAAGGAATGAATATGTATTTAACCAAGTTCCAACAAAAGAATGCTGCTACAGGTAATCTTAATAGCTTGAGTTAGTATTGAAAGCATTGTCACTTTATCCAGGGTGGGAAATTTCTAACAAACTTCTGGGTAACCTAGTGCTACTAAGTCATGGGTCACACTTTTGAAAAGCAAAGCCTACCATTTAACATTTTTTTTCCTTGTTATTTATGAAAGTCAATTGGCAGTTCAAATATACTTCCATTATAATTCCCAGCATCCTCTTGCAGAAATTCCAGTACCCTGTTTGTCCTCACGGCTGTTCTCCCTAATTCATGCTTTCGTGATCTCTGCGCTAGAATCTTGAAAATGCCTACTTATCCACTACTTCTTGCCCTGCTGCATTCTATTCAAGTGCACCTCTTCTTTTTTAGCTATAGATTGTCACAATACCTTTATTTGTTTAGTTTATGTAGTGCTGAGGATCGAACCCAGTGCCTCACACATACTAGGCAAGTGCTGTACCACTGAGCCACAACTCCAGCTCAAGTTCATCTCTTACACTGAGGCTAGAGTTATCTTGCTAGAGGGAATATCAGATCATATCCTCCTATTTATTGTCACTGAAGTCTATACCTCTTTGTAAGCCAGTGATCAATAGGTTAGCCCCTACCTAATGTTTTAGCCTCATCTCCTGTTATTCCTACTCTCATACCCTACTTTCTTGGAGCTTATTGAACATATTGCTATTGTTTCTACTTTTCCTGTTTGTACATTAGACCATTTATTCTGTGTACTTTATTCCCTTGTGTGTGTGATGAACAACTCCAAGTTGAAGGTTAAAAATCATACTTGTGAACCCTTTATTTTCTTTGGATTTTTCTTTATGTGCTTTTTCCTTCCTCTGTGCATGTTACCATCATAGTATGTACCCCTTATTGGTATTTTGCTTTATCTTCCACCATATGAATTTAACCATGAGTTTTACTTCAGTTTGATAAGCAATGAATATTTTAAAACTGGTTAATTGAATGGATATAATGCTTATTTACACAGTGAGTTTGAACATGTTTCTATATTTTCATTCTTATTTCTTGTTTGAACTCAATTGTCTTTTGTTATAGTTTATAATTTTTCTTATATGCTAGAATGATTAAGTACATCTTAGAATAAAAGACCAGTTTTTAAATTTATTTTATTGGTGCATTATAGTTGTACATAATTATGGAATTTATTATCACATATTTGTATAGGTACACAGTATAACAATATAATTTGGCCAGTATCACTTCCCAGTGCTTCCTCCCTTCCACCTTGCCTCTATCTCTTAGTCCCTTTTCTTAACTGATCTCCCTTTGATTTTCGTGGTATCTAACCACACCTACCTTTCTTTACCTTTTTCCTCTCTAGTTCCGTATATGAGAAAAAAATATACAACCCTTGACATCTGAGTTTGACTTATTTAACTTAACATAATGGTTTCTAGTTTTATCCATTTTCCTTCAAATGACATAATTTCATTTTTCTTTATAGCTGAATAAAACTCCCGTGTGTGTGTGTGTGTGTGTGTGTGTGTGTATGACATTTTCTTTATCCATTCATCTGTTGATGGACACCTAAGCTGGTTCCATAGCTGGGCTGTTGTGAATTGTGCTCCTATAAATGTGGGTATACATATATCACTATAGTATGATGACTAATTCTTTAGGATAAATAATGAGAAGTGGTATAGCTGGGTCATATAGTGGTTCCATGCTTAAATCTTTCGAGGTACCTCCATACTGATTTATGTAATGGTTGTACTAATTTACAATCCAAAAAATGTTCCTTTTTTCTCTCTATCCTCTCCAGCATTTACTGTTATTTGTATTCTTTAATTCATTTGCCCATTTATTTTTATTTTATTTTATTGGTATTGGGGAACTGGATTATTATTATTTTTTTTGTGTGTGTGTGTGTGTGAAATTTTTTTGAGTTTTTTGTATATTCTAGATATTAATCTTATGTCAGAAGAGTAGTAAAGATTTTTCTCCCATTTTGTAGGTCCTCTTCTTTACATTCCTAATTATTCCTTTGCTGTGCAGAAGTTTTTTAATTTGCTGCCATCCCATTTATTAACTCTTGGCATTATTTCCTGAGCTTTAGAAATCTCCTATTAAGAAAATTGTTGCCTGTGCCTGCATGCTGGAGTCTTGATGCTATATTTTCTTCTAGGAGTTAAATAGTTTCTGTTCTAATTCCTAGGTCTTTGATCTGTTTTGAGTTGATTTTTATGCAGGGTGAGAGAGAAGGGTCTAGTTTTATTCTGATACATATGGATAACAAGTTTTCCCAGCACTATTTGTTAAAAAGACTGAAAGCCAAGTGTTTATAAGGAGATGTTAATTTGGCCTACTGTTTCCTGAACCTGAAAGAAACAAAGAATTGGTCAGCATTGCAGTGTTAAGAGTTAAATAATATTTCTAATTTGTTTTAAGAAAATAAACACATAAACATTTTAGATTATCATTGTTTGTGATTTGCCTTCCAGAGGATCTTTGGGAAAGTTTAGAAAATGCTAGTGGCAAACCCATAGCAGCTGTGATGAATACCTGGACCAAACAAATGGGATTCCCTCTCATTTATGTGGAAGCAGAACAGGTAAACTTATAAAAAGTCCTATTTGTCTGATATTACACTGCATGAAATTCAGTTCAATGTTACCAAATTTGCTTTTCTGTACTTTTTAAATTGTAGTGAACTTTATACCAACCTTGTACTCTTTTCTCAGTGATTTTGCCCCTGCCCAACATCATTAAATTATACATAGTTAGGGAACAAAATTGTCTACTTGTACTATCCTCAGGGAGACTGTGAAAATTTGTTGGTTTACTTCTAAAAAGACTACTTGATGTTTATTCTTGTTTTGGTGCTGGGGATTGAATCCAGGGTTTTAGGCATGCAAGGCAAGTGCTCTACCACTGGGCTAAATAAACCCCAATCCCCACATGAGTTTCATTCTAGAAATACAAGGTTGATTTAATATTTAAAAAGTCTTACTACAAGAGCTGGGCATAGTGGCACTGACCTATAATCGCAGTTACGTGGGAGGCTGAGGCAGAAGAATCAAAAGATTCAGGGCAATCTGGGCAATTCATTGAGACCCCCATCTTAAAAAAAGAAAATCTCACTATATTACTAGAACCAAATAGAAGAACCATGTAATCACTTGATTAAATGTAGAAAAAAAAATTGGTAAAATTCAATATGCCTTTATAATTTCCTTTTAAAATATTGTTTTTAATGTTGATTGATTGAACCTGAATTAAAGAGGAGTACTTCAGAATAAGTTATTCTCCAGCAGGACTGAAAATTACACATGAACCCTTAATGCCTACCAAAAAGTTTGTCTTAATTCAGTTTTACTTATGAAATTATTCTCTTAAATGTGTTTGTCAAGATTTTGTGAGCTGTGTATTAGTTGCTATCCATTTTTAAGGAAAAAGATTGATAACACTTTCTTTTTATTTTTGGTACAGGGGAATGAACTCAAGGGTACTTAACCACTGAGCCACATCCCCAGCCCTATTTGTTTTTTTATTTTGAAATAGGGTCTTGCTAATTTGCTTAGGACCTCACTAAGTCGCTGAGGCTAGCTTCAAAAGTTGCAGTCCTTCTGCCTCAGCCTCCTGAGTTGCTGAGATTACAGGTGGGCACCACTATGCCCAGTTTATAACTTTTTTTCTTGTCTTGAACTGTTCATAAAGTCAAGTATAATTTTACAAAGTATTTACAATTTTATAATTTTTAAATTTATAATTTTACAAGTATTCTACATGACATTTAACCAGCCCTTACACTCTCAAAATGCAGCCACATTTACAAAGAACATTTTAATGTGGATGCTTGCAAGTTAACCTTCTAGAGCCATATCTTAACTTAAAATATGAGTGGATTTATAATAAAGTAAGACATACTGGAAGACCTCTCAGTTAAATGATTGCAAGGAGATGAAATGTCAACTTAGGGAATGCAATTTATCATATTTGGTGGACTAGACTACCTCTAAGTTTAGTAACCTATATTGTGTTTCTTTTAATCTTCTTTGTCCACTTAGGAGAAAAGTCTATTATGAGGTGACTCATGATATATGACTGATTATACTTGACATTCCATATAGATTTGACAAGTAGTTATCTCTCTACCTGATTTGTTTAATATTAGCAAGCCAGCCATGGTGGTATATACCTGTAACTCCAGGGGCTCTGGAGTCTGAGGCAGGAGGTTTGCAAGTTTGAGGTTAGCCTCCTTAATTTAGCAAGGCTCTCAGCAGTTTATCAAGACCCTGTCTCAAAATAAGACACACCTATAATCCCAATGACTCAAAAAAGAAGAAAGATATTAGCATACAAAGATGATTGTTCTTTTCATCTCTAAGTATTTCATTCCTCAAAACTATTAAACTGTTTAATGATAACATATAGTGTGAACTCTTAGTTTTAATTTTTTTCTTCAAGCAAAACACTTTAAAAATTTTTGGCGGGGGATCTGGGGTTGTGGCTCAGTGGTAGAGCACTTGCCTAGCATGTTCATCAAAATCTAAAAAAATATTTAAAAAAAATTTTTGTGGGGGGGACTGTGGGGTGAACCCAAAGCCTTATATATGCTAGATAGGTGTTCTACCACTGAGCTACTTCCCTGAGCCCCCTTGTAATTTTATTTTTGATGCAGAGTCTCACCAAGTTGTCTAGATTGGCCTTAAATTTGTGATCTTGTCTCAGCTCAGTTTCTGGGACTATAAGCATGAGCCACCATGCCTGCCTCTAGTGCACACTTTTAGTTGTTATCAAATAGAAAACAGGAATATCACTGCTTCTTAGTGTTACTGAAACTGAGCTTACTTTTCCCATCTAGTTACTTAAAGGTGTTGCTCTATTTCTTTTGTTGTTTTTTTGTCTATGTACAGAGCTAAACTCACCCATTTTATATTATAATAAAAAGGCTCTCTGTGGGGTTGGGGTTGTAGCTCAGCAGTAGAGTGTTAGCCTAGCATGTGTTAGGCACTTAACCACTGAGCCACATCCCCGAGCCATTTTTTTTTTTTTTTACTTAGAGACAAACTGAGTTTGATCCTCAGCACCACATAAAAATAAATAAATAAATAAATAAATAAAAGGCTATCTGTCACTTAATTCTTTTGAAAGTAGAACTCTCTAACATATAGTTTTTTTTCTTTTTTTTAAATATTTTTGTTTAGTTGTTGATAGATCTTTATTTTTTTATTTAATATACGTGGTGCTGAGAATCAAACTCAGTGCCTCACAGATACCAGGCAAATGCGCTACCACTGAGCCCCAGCCCCAGCCCTCTTTTCTTCTTTTAAATGCAGTACTGGGAATTGAACCCAGGGGCACTCTACCAGTGAGCTATATCCTCATCCCTTTTTATTTTTTATTTTGAGACAGGGTCTCACTAAGTTGCCCAGGCTGGCCTTGAATTTGTGAATTTGTGATCCCTCTGCCTCCATCTCTAGAGTTGCTGGGATTAAAGGCCAGCTGTTGAAGTATATTTTTTTTTTTTTTTAAGTATTTTTTTAAATAAATGAACTTGCTATTGTTGGTTCTGGCTTTTTAGTTATTTTCAGTGCCTGCCCCCCAATCTACACACACACACTTTTTGTTTCATTGCAAAATTCATCCTTTGAAACAACATGTATGCCTATTTCATGTTTAACAAGCATTTTAAATTTTGAATTTTGAATAGTGAGTCCACATGCCAATGTAATGTTGCTGCTTCTTTAGTCTTAAACTTCTAAGAAGCAGCAACATTACATTGGCATGTGGACTCACTATTCATCTTTATAAAGATTAATATAACTTGTTTATTGTGTTATATACCTTGAAAACTAATACATTGCTTTTAGGAACATCTCAACTGGGTATACATCCCTTTTGAGGGGTCATATTACATGGACATTTGCCATTTATTTATTTATTTTGTTAACTAAAAAAATTTTTAAAAAAATTATCAATGGACCTTTTATTTATTTATTTATTTATGGTGCTGAGGATCGAACCCAGTGCCTCACACATTCCAGGCAAGTGCGCTACCACTGAGCCATAGCCTCAGCCCTAATATCTATTTATCTATTTGTTTGTTTATTTATTTAAATATGTATTTTTTTAATGTTTATTTTTTAGGTGTAGATGGACACAACACAATGACTTTATTTTTATGTGGTGCCAAGGATCAAACCCAGGTCCCACCCGTGCTAGGCAAGTGCTCTACTGCTGAGCCACAATCTAGCCCCCTAATATTTATTTTTTTTGCAGTGGTAGAATCCAGGGGCATTCTACCACTGAGTGCCCCCACAAACCCATTATTGATTGATTGATTGATTGATTGATTGATTGATGGTGCCAGGAATTGAACCCAGGGGCACTTAACCACTGAGCCACATCCCTCATCCATTTTTTTTTTTTTTTAAATTTTTATTTTAAAACAGGGTTTTACTAAGTTGCCAAGAGAGACCTCAAATTTGCAGTCTTCCTGCCTCGGCCTCTTGAATTGATGTGATTCGAAGCATGCACCACCACAACTAGCTATTTATTTATGTATTTATTTTCACAGTGCTGGGGATGGAACTCAGGGCCTCATGTATACTGGGCAAGCACTCTACCACTGAGCTACATCCTGCCCCAGACTTTTTTTAGAATAAAGATTCTATAGTACATCATCTTCATCACCACTGCATTTTGTGTGTTTATCAGTCATTTGGTTCTGTTGGTTCCATCATCTACTTTATCACAGGAATATTCCTCCCACTGCTCCAAAAGTGTTGATGCTATTATAGTCTTTATTTTGTTTCTTTAGGTAGAAGATGACAGATTACTGAAGTTGTCCCAAAAGAAGTTCTGTGCCAGTGGACCTTATGTTGGTAAGCAAATGGCTATAAATGGGAGGTAATTGATGATTTGGGGTATCAATAGTGGGTTCCAACTAATAGGAAATATTATCCTTTTTTTTTTTTTACCCCCCAGACCACAGATTGAATTCAAGGGTGCTTAACCACTGAACAACATCCCCAGCCCTTTTTATTTTTTATTTATAGACAGGGTCTTTCTAAGTTGCTTAGGACCTCACTAACTTTGAACTAGCTTTGAACTCAAAATCCTCCTGCCTCAGCCTCCTGAGCCACTGGGATTATAAGCATGTGCCATCACACCTGGCATTATTATCCATTATTTATAGTTATAATGGAACTAATAAAAACAAGGAGATGGTAAAAGGATAAAAGTGAGACTTAAGAAATCAAAATATAAGATTCAACACGCTATTTGTAGTATTTAATTACTTTCTTAAAAAAAATCTCATGTGTCTATGTATTATTGGAGTCTATAATGAAGAATTAGAACTTCTAAGAAGTGATATCTAGTCTTAATCCATAAAAGAGGATTTCTGGTGTACTTAAGTGGATGGCTTAAATATAGGTGGTATTATTTTCATTTTGCACATGAGAGAGCTGAGGTACAACTAGGTTAAATTGGTTGAGGTCACTTATCGAATAAGTTACAAGTGGAAATTAGCTTGGGCACAATGGCATGTGCCTGTAATCCCAGCAATTTGGGAGGCTGAAGCAGGAAGACTGCAAATGCCCCTCCCATACACACATAAAAGGATAAGGGAGGAAATTGAAACAAAATAATCAAACCCCATGAGTTCTGCTTTTTTTCCCTCCACACTGTGGATTGAACCCAGGGCTTTGCCATTTAGGCAAACACTCTACCAATTAACTACCTCCCCAACCCTGAGTTTATGTTTTTATTTTTTAAATATTTTTTTTATTTTGTCACAGGAATGGACACAATATCTTTATTTATTTATAATCTATCTATCTATTTATTTTTTATGTGGTTCTGAGGGTGGAAGCGCTCTACCACTGAGCTACAGCCCCAGCCCATGAGTTCATGTTTTTAACTCACACTTTTTCAAACACATTAGACTCCCTTCCTATAAAATTTTATCCAGGAAATTAAAGTTTGATTGAAAAAAAACCAAAAGTAAAGTGTTTCTCTGAATAGTAGTTCTCAACAAAGAGAAGTATATGTTATCATCTCCAATGCCTTGTCATGTTCTACCCTCAAGATCTGGTGCATCCTCCTAGGATTAAGAAGTATGGCCTCTGCCCTTAACTCTTCTTAAAACATTAGAATTACTCTTATAATAAATAGGTCTGACAAGTCGGGAGTGGTGGTGCATACCTGTAATCCCAGCAATTCAGGAGGCAGAAATACAAGGATCGAAAGTTTGAGGCCAGCCTCAACAACTTAGCACTGATCTAAGCAACTTAGTGAGACTCAGTCTCAAAATTGTAAAAATTTTTAAAAAAGGATGGGGATATAGCTGAGTGGTAAAGTGCTCCTAGGTTAAATTCACAGTATTATAAAAGATTTTTTTTTAATGAAATAAATGCCTTACAAGTCAAACAATATATCCAAATAAATCCTTAAGTGTCATAGTTGCTGTTTTCTACCTCATACCTATAATCTGCTTTCAAATACTGATAGGTTTTACAGACTTTTATAATGTTCAGTGACAAATGTAAACAACATTAAAACCTGAATAGTGTGTGAAGGGGAGGGGTTTAATTTGTTGTTTAGCCTGATAATTAGGCTATATAACTCACATGTTAGGTATGCAACTATTTAAATAACTGTTAATGTACTTGGTAAGGACTCTTGTTAGGCATCTTAATGCAAGTCTGTTTTGCTGCCTGATATCTAAAATAGTATTTCTGCCTTACAAATGCTTTGACTTTTAGATATGACTCCTCATTAATAGAATGCAACAGCTCCCAGGATGTGTCGTATCATAGCAATAAATATCAGTGTTTCATCAGTGTGTATACCCATTAAAGACTGCACCTTAAAATTGGTTTTTCAATGCAATGGGAACACTTTCACCTACTCAAAATTTATTTTCACAGTAAAATCATTGCTATGTCTATTGCTTTGTGAAGGGAAAACAATGATTAAGGTTAAATCGTTGCATTTGTGATTCTATGAGTTAACTGATCTCTCTCTTTTTTTTTTTTAGGCTGTTATTATTTCATTAGTTATATCTTCCTTTCCACTAATATTTGGGTTAGCTGGGAGAGTTTCTGTAGCACTAAGAATGAGCTATTGGCTTACCACCTAAATTTGGGCCCCTGACTAGAACAACACCAGTCCTCTCTATACATTTTACCATCTGTTTCTTCCAGGATAAAGTTAATTTTCAGGTTTTCTGTTTGTTCTTCTCTTGATTAGGAGAAGACTGTCCCCAATGGATGGTTCCTATCACAATCTCTACTAGTGAAGATCCCAATCTGGCCAAACTTAAAATTCTAATGGATAAGCCAGAGATGAATGTGGTTTTGAAAAATGTCAAATCAGACCAGTGGGTTAAGGTGAGTCCACAAATGGCAGAGCCATTTTTACCTTATCTGAACTGATTTTTTTAATGCATTTTATAACTCTCTCTAAATTTTACTGCTCCAGTTTAGACTGAGACTTTTTTGGGGGAGGAAGGCGTAGTGTGGGGATTGAACTCAGGTTTCATGTATACTAATGCATACTAGGCAAGTGCTCTACCACTGAGCTACATTCCAGCCCCATAGACTAGGACTTTCAATTCTAAAACTTTGTGAAATTTAGGGCTATTTTTCAAATAGTATAATCCAGATTTGTGCTCTTAATTAGATAAGGGTGTGGTAGATAAGCAAATAAAACAGAATAAGACTGAAGTGGAAAAGAAAAATAATAGACTCTGTATAAAGTCATGTTAGCCAAAACATTTGTGGACTTACAACTTTAAACACCTATAATCTCATCAACTCAGTGAACTGAGACAGGAGGATTCCACGTTCAAGGCTAACCTGGGCAACTTAAACCATGTCTCAAAATAGGGCTGAGGATGTGGCTCAGTGGTCAAGTGTCCCTGAGTTCAATCCCCTGGTACCAAAAAATCAAGAAATAAAAAAGTGTTGGGATTGTGGCTCAGTGGCAAGGATAACGGAATTAAAAAGGGGCAGGGAATGGGAATGTAGTTTGGTGGTAGAGCATCTCTGGGTTTATTTCCCAGTACCACCACACAGGGGAAAAAAAAAAAGAAGATAAAGGAAATCAATAAAATAGAGGCTGGGGGGCATACCTCAGTGGTAGAGCACTTATCTGGTATACGCAAGGTCCTGGGTTCAATCCCCAGCATTACAAAATGAAAGAGGGAGAGGAAAAAAAGGGGTGGGGGGGAATCAATAAAATAAAAGTTGCATTAGAATTATGGGCTGATTTTTAAAAATATTTATAAGAAATAAAATATTTAGGGCTGGGGTTGTGGCTCAAGTGGTAGAGTGCTCGCCTAGCACATGTGAGGTACTGGGTTCGATCCTCAGCACCACATAAAAATAAAGATATTGTATCTGCCTAAAACTAAAATATAAATATTAAAAGAAGTAAAATACTTATGTCTTCTTATTTTACCATTATACTATACTGTATATAAATATTTTCAAAAATATTTTTGGTTGTAGCTCAGTAGTAGGGTACTTGCCTAACAAATGCAATCAATCCCAGTCACAAAAAAAAAAAAGGAAAGAAAAATGGTTTCAGTTGTTTGTAAATAGCCTATAGAGAAATCAGTGGTTACTTTACTCCAAAAATAATATGAAATTACCTTTATTGCATCTCTCACCTAAATAATATGATAGATTTTTTTGATTAAAGGTTCTTATTCTACCTGGAGTGTCTGAAACATAATTAGAAAAATATGGTTCTTCCTGGAGGTTAAAATTTAAAATATGAAATTGTTGAGGCTTTTTACTCAATGTTTATAAAAGCTTAATCTTTTCAGAGAGTCTTCTATCAAGTGCTTTTATATATAGTAAATATTTTCTGTAAATCTATAACGATCCATTGAGATTAGAAATAGAAATTTAGCCAACATTATTCTCTCTCTTTCTCTCATGTTCTTCCTACTGTCCCTCACTTTGGCCCCTATTGTTACAAGTTTCTGGGTTTTTTGCCTTTGCATTTATTTTGGACAACTGATTGCTAACTTTGTGGGCTCTGTGTTTTAATCCCTACTCGTTAGCATGTGTGATCTTTGTTATTTTTAACACAAATATATCTAAAAGCATAATTCATTTTACACATACAAAAGGTTGATTTGTTAAATAAATGGAAGTTCGAAAAAGACATAAAATAAATGGAAGCATTTAATAGTGCCTATTGGATATCTTTTCAGTTAAATCTGGGAACTGTTGGGTTTTATCGAACCCAGTATAGCTCTGCCATGCTGGAAAGTTTATTACCAGGCATTCGGGACCTTTCTCTGCCTCCTGTGGATCGACTTGGATTACAGAATGACCTCTTCTCCTTGGTAAGTGTCTCTCATTTAAGTAATATGATAGATTTTGTTGATTAAAGGATCTTGTTTTTCCTGGAGTGTCTAAAGCATAATTAGAAGAATATAGTTCTTCTGAATGTGAACACCTTTGGGAAAGGAGCAAATGACTGTTGGTAATTAAATGACAAGATTGGATCTATATAATTTACCAGAAGCAAATACCATTTCACTACTCCTAAGCCAGTTTTTTTTTTTTTAATTATTTTTAGTCAAACCATTCTTTATAAGACAAAAAGTTCTTTCTTTTAAATAGAAATAGATACAAGCCTTTAAGAAATTTCCCTACTTTTTTTTTTTTTAATAATTCAATGATTTATTGGAGGGTGGAGGGCATGAGACTGAAGTCTTGCTAAGTTGCTTAGGGTCTCACTAAACTGCTATAAGGCTAGTTTTGAATTTATGATCTTCCTGCCTCAGCCTTCCCAGTCACTGGGATTACAGGCGTGCATGCCTGCATTCACGCACCACTACATCTGGCAGTAATTTAAAATGATTTTGTTTTTTCTAAAGTAGTTTGCAGGAAAAGCTAGAACTTTTGTAGTTTTGTTATTATTCAAATTATAGTGTGTATTAACTTAGAAATATATTTATATTTGGTTTTATTCCAGAAAGGACTTAAAGCAGCAGCTAGTAGTATTATTTTTGTGACTCCAACATAGGTTTTGTAATTTCTGGATGTCTTTGACTATGATAAAATTGTTATGTTCCTCCTAGTGTTCCTTTAAATTGAACTTGAAATTTTCCCTGCCCTCTGCAATCACTGGTTTTAAATTCCTCCTTTGTATAAACATAGATTAGCATTGAAGCTCAAAACTTTACATCTGCTGGGATCTCTTTGCCAAAAGAGACCTGTCCCAGGAGAGTGGGTCATTTGTGCAGTTGGCTGCTGTAACAGAAGTTCTTTTTCCCAACTCCATTAGTTAGTGCTGAAAGAACTCTCAATTTGTAGTGCCTTCCAGTTTGTGCTCTTTTGGAAACGGGTAAAGGAGAGGCTTAAGTTGACACAGCTTGAAAGGTCCAGCTTTGAAAGAGCCTCTGTCAAGAATTAAAGCCCCAACTATTTTTGTAGTTTTTTTGAAGATATGAAAAATTTCAAAACAAAATCAGGGGCCCAGAAACCAAGTAGAAATATGAAGTTAACTGGTTTATTGTTGTTGTTCCTCAAGTAGGGGAGTTTAGTGTAATTTTTAAAGTAGTTCTTTTATAAATAGTGAAGAAGTAAGTAAGGGATATTTTCATAATAGGAATTTATTTCAATGGTGTTCTTCTGAACTTATTTAGTCTCATTTCCTCAAACCAAAAAAAATTATTAGCAGTAGATTATGCTGAAAATACATGCTTATTTTTTGTTTTGTTTTTTGAAGACTAGGTTAATTTATGTTTTTTCCTATCCCAGGCTCGAGCTGGAATCATTAGCACTGTAGAGGTTCTAAAAGTCATGGAGGCTTTTGTGAATGAGCCCAATTATACTGTATGGAGCGACCTGAGCTGTAACCTGGGGATTCTCTCAACTCTCTTGTCCCACACAGACTTCTATGAGGAAATCCAGGAGTTTGTGAAAGATGTCTTTTCACCTATAGGGGAGAGACTGGGCTGGGACCCCAAACCTGGAGAAGGTAATGGATGTACTTAATGGGGAAAAAAAAATCAGTCAGAAACTGGTACTTTTTTATTCACCTGTAGTTAACAACTTAATTAAAATCATCTTTATATTTGTAAGATGTTACTTTATATTCAACTGCCAGAAATTAAAACTCAAGTCATCCAAGTCTGCTGGTAAAGTTAATGTGTCATCACCATCAGTGCAGTAGTACTTACATATATATTTATTGCTACATGTGATTTATACAGTATTGAAAATAAAGTGTTCCAAAGGCACATTTATAGTCAAGAAAAGTTAATGGGAATTTTGAGTTATTTTTCTTATTTATATTACCATACTACTAGGCACCTTATATACAACTTGTAACTCGAGGTTACAGCTAAGAGACACAGGGGCCAGCTTTCTTAATTAAGGAAGTTAATTGCTTTTTTACACATGTTCTCCTCCATCATTATTTCTGTAATCACATATTTACTCTTTTTGCTATCATTTAAATGTTGAGAATGGTGATTTGAAGACTCTAAATACAATTATTTTTTACCATCTTCTAATAGTTAAAGGTGGTACTTTCTCTTAATTTTGAGAGTCTTTGGAAATAAGAACAGTAGTAACAGTACTTAAGCACTCTTTGTCTTTCGTTGGTTCAACAAATATTTATGCAACTTATATGCCAAGTATTATTCTAGAAGTTGCTGATACAGCAGAAAGCAAAACATTGCCCTGTATGGTTTATATTTTAGTGGGAGACATAGCAAAGAATTAAATATATACTGTTCTGGGTTGATAGCAAGTATCATGAAGAAAAACAAAGCCAGGTAAGGCAAATAAGGAGTACAAGACCACTATTTTATAGAGAGCAGTTGGGGAAATCACTAATAAGGTAATCTTTGAATCTAAGTAGAGATACCAAAGAGAGAAGTATAAGGATATCTAGGGGGGAAATGGTCCAGAGGGACTGACAAATGCCTAAGGTGGGAACATGGAATAACAAGAAGGCTAGTAAGGTCAGAACAGAGTAAATGAGAGAGGGAGGAACATGGGAAGCGTACTAGATCTTATAGGACTTGTGGACCCATGGTAAGAAGTTTTTGACTTTCATATTTTGTGACTTGAGGTGATAATTTAGAGTTTTGGGTAGAGGAACATGATTTGATGTACTTGAGTATGTGAAGAATAGGCTGAAGGCAGATTTAGCTTGGTGGTGGAACACTCGCCTAGCATGCTCTGAACTCAACTTCCAGCACTGCAGGAAAAAACAAAACAAAAAAAGAAAAATAGGCTATCTGATTAATCCATTTGAGGTGCTGGCTACAACTTATAAGTAGTTAGTAAGTTCTGTGTGAAGTTTGAAGGTAGAACAAACTTATTTAAACAACTTTTTAAAAGAATTTTGCTAAAAAGAATGTGTGGTTGAGAGAGGAGTCATCAAATTAAAACTGCCATAGAAGCACCTTTGGGTACAAAAGGGAATCAATCAGGAGTTTGGTTTGAGGCATATTAAATTTGAGGTCATGTTAGACATCTGAACATAGAATTCCTCAAAATCCAGGTTGGATAAATACATTTGGGAGTCATTAGCAAGTAGATAATATTTGCAGCTATGAAACTATAAGAGACCACTCAGGGACTGAGTTTAGATGGAAAAAAGAGAACTGAGGACTGGATCCGAAGGAAGTCCAGATTGAGAGATTAGGTAGAAAAAGGAAGAATCTATAAAGGAGACTGTCCAATGAGGCAGGAGGAGAGCCAGGAGGGAAAGGAGTATCCCAAGACATAAACAGCATATTAAAGCAGAAGGAAAGTAATCAGCTGTACAAAAGCTCTCTAAGTCAAGAAAAGGATGGAGAATTAGTGATTGCATTTAACAAACTTTATGGGATGATACAAAACAATAGTGCTTTCTCTGCAATGGGAGGAGATGAAATGGAGCCACACATCTAGACAACTTTTTAAAAGAATTTTGCTAAAAAGAGAATCAGAGAAAAGAGTGTAGTCTTGAGAAATGTGGGCTCAGGGAAGGACTTTTTTTAGTTGTAGTTAGACACAATAGCTTTATTCTATTATGTGGTGCTGAGGATCGAACCCAGGGCCTTGCACGTGCTAGGTGCGCGCTCTACTACTGAGCCACAACCCTAGCCCCGGACTTCTCTTTTTTTAAGTTGGGATATTTTATATGTCTTTTTACCAATGAAAGTAATGTGTAGTATTGAAAATTCACGTTGGAACAGAGTGGCAGCTGAATAATGGAGAGGAATTGGAACCCAGTGCACAGTAGAGAAGTTGGCTTTAGACAGGAGCACAGATTAATAATAACAAGATGTAAGTAAATTAGTAGGCATTGTACTTTTCTTTTATAATGATAATGTGTGAAACCTTTTGAGCTTAAAAATTATACAGAAGGCAGGGCTGGGGTTATGGCTCAGTGGTAGAGCACTTGCCTAGCATGTGTGAGGCCCTGAGTTCCATAGGCCCTGAGTTCCATCCTCAGCACAATGTAAAAATAAATAAAATAAAGGTATTGTGTCCAACTACAACTAAAAAATAAATATTAAAAAAAAAAAATGATACAGAGGGGCTGGAATTGTGGCTCTGTGGTAAAGCATTTGCCTAGCATGTGTGAGGCACTGAGTGTGATCCTTAGCACTGCCTAAAAGTAAATAAATAAATAAGTAAAGGTATTGTGACCATCTACAATGAAAAAATATGTAAAAATGATATAGGAGGGGCTGGGTTTGTGGCTCAGTGGTAGAGTGCCTGCCTCACATGTGTGGGGCCTGGGTTCAATTCTCAGCACCACTTAAAAATAAATAAGTGAAATAGAGTTATTGTGTCCAACTACAACTAAATTTTATATATATATATAAATGAATGAATGATAGATACAGGGAAACCACATCAATGTTTATAGCAGCACACTTCATAAATAGCTAAGCTATGGAACCAATCTAGATGCCCATCAACAGATGAATGGATAAAGATAATGTGGTTTATATATACAATGGAATATTACTCAGCCATAAAGAAGAATGTTTTTATGACATTCATCAGTATGATGGATCTGGAGACTATATGTTAAGTGAAATAAGCCAATCCCAGAAGATCAAAGGATGAATGTTATGGATGCTATTGGTAAGGGGAAGAATAGAAGTTCAATGGATTATACAAAGGGGAAAGAAGGGAAGGGAGGGGAGATAGGAATAGGCAATAGAATGAATCTGACATAACTTTCCTATGTATACACATGAATACACCACAGTGAATCTCAACATTGTATATACTCCACCAGACTGGGATCCTGATTAGAATAAGGTATCTGTCATGTATAAATATGTCAAAATTGGGCTAGGGATGTGGCTCAAGCAGTAGCGCGCTCTCCTGGCATGCACGGGGCGCTGAGTTCTATCCTCAGCACCACATTAAAATAAAAAATAAAGATGTTGTGTCCACCGAAAACTAAAAAATAAATATTAAAAAATTCTCTCTCTCTCTCTCTCTCTCTTTTAAAAAAAATTGTCAAAATTAATTCTACTGCCATATATAACTAAAACCAAAAAATTTTAAAAATGATATAGGGGGAATGGCTTTAGTTTTCTATCAGATGAAAGAATCAAAAAGCAAAATAATAAAACATCACCTTCCACCACATAGCAAGTCAGTACCAGAGCCAGAGTTATAAATTGTTTTTTGTTTTGTTTTGGATCTCTTGGTAAGTTTTCTTAAACTTACTTTTTATTGAATTATGATTTAAATATAGCAAAAATGTGTAATGTCAGTGTTCTGTCTAGCTTGATGATACCTTCTACCCCCATTTCTTTGTCAGTACAGGGCTTCAGCATATGCTAGGCAAGTGTTCTACCACTGAACTATATCCCTAGTCCCCCAGTTTGATGACTTTTGACAGTGCATACATTTCTATTCTTTAAAAGTAGCCTCAGGCCCCTTCTAAACCAGTCCCTGCTACTTGATCACCCTATCCAGGCAAACACTATTTTACTACTTTCACCGTAGATTAATGTTGTCTATCATACAAATAGAATCTCATACACATATACATATTTCTCTCCCCCCCCCCCAAGTACAGGGGATGGAACCCAACAGTGCTCTACCATTGAGCTACATCCCCAGCCTATTTATTTATTTATAGATAGGGTCTTGCTAAATTGTCAGAATTGGCCTGGAGCTTTCCATCTTCCTTCCTCAGCCTCCCAAATGGCTGAGATTACAGAAGTACACCAATATATCCTGTGTGAAATTGTGTTATATTTTGCTTTTCTTATTCGGCATGTTTTTGAGACACATGCAGGTTGTTCATTCCTTTTACTGCTGGGTAGTAAGAATATACTGCATTTTCCATTGTACATCTATCAGATTTGTGTGCTAATTTTGACTTTTTTGCGTTGGTCATGGTGACATATACATGTTTCCAGACCACTTAGCAACACCCTACCTCAAAATAAAAAGGACTGGGGATGTAGCTCAGTTGTAGAGTATTTGCCTAGTAAGTGCAAAGCCTTAGGTTTAATCCTCAGTATCTCAAAAGAAAAAAAAAAAAAAAACCAGTTCAGTGCTTTTTAGTATGCTCATAATAAGCTTATACAACCATCACCATTATCTAATTTCAGAACAATTTCTTCACCCTAAATGAAGCCCCATGCCCAGTGGCAGTTAATCCCTATTCCCTGAGAACCACTAATCCTTCTCTCTTATAAAGTTGCCTATTTTTAACATTTCATATAAGTAGAATCATATAGTATATGGCCTTGTGTACCTGGCTTCTTTCATTTAGCATTTGCCCAGGTAGTAGCTTAATGTCAGTATCTCATTCCTTTTTTTTTTTTTTTGCGCTGGGGTGGGGTGGGGTGTTTACTGGGAATTAAACTCAGGGGCACCCAACCTCTAAGCCACATACCCAGCCCTAATTTTTTTTTTTTTTGGTGGTTCTGGGGATTGAACCCCAGCAATTACTCTACTAACTGAGCTATATCCCCAGCCCTTTATTCCTTTTTATGGTAGAATAATATCTCATTGTGGGGATGTAGCACATTTTATCAGTTGGTAAACATTTGGATTGGTTTCACTTTTTGGCTATTATGAATTCTGCTGTGAATATTTACATACAAGTTTTTATATAGACATATACTTTCGTTTCTCTTGGGTAAATACCTAAGAGTAGAATTGCAAGGTCACATGATAACTCTATGTTGAACCTACAGAGGAACTGCCAAACTGTCTTTCTAAATGGCCACATCATTGTACATTTCCACCAGCAGTGTTTTAGGGCTCTAATTTCTCCACATCCTTGTCAACACTTTTGTTTATATTCTGTCTTTTCGATTGTAGCCATCATAGTATGAAGTAGTATCTCATTGTGGTTTGTATTTGCATTTCCCTAATGATCAATGGTGATACTCTTTTTATGTCCTTAATGACTGTTTGTGTATCTTTGGAAGAATTCATCAACCAGCCTTCATTTAAAAATATAATTTCAGGGCTGGGGTTGTGGCTCAGTGGTAGAGCGCTTGCCTAGCATGTGTGACGCACTAGGTTCGATTCTCAGGACCACATAAAAATAAATAAATGAATAAAGGTTCATCAATAACAAAAATTTTTTTTAAATATGATTTCAGTTTGTCATACACAGGGTATACTAGTTCCACATACTATCTTTTTCTGAATCTTGTGTCAGAGCTTTGTGATGTAATAAGCCTATTCTTTCCACACACAGTCCTTAGCAGTATAATTAACTAGACTGAGTAACATTTAGTAAATCCAGATAATTGGCATTTGTGAATAGAGATGGTCAGCAAGTTTGCTTGTCTAGTCTGTTTAGCATTTTCCCTCTTACGATTTATTAAATTTAAATCAAGTGTTCTCTCTCGTATTAGGGGAATTGTGTTTGTTTAAGACCACAGACTTAGAGTAATACAATTATAAAGTATTCAGGTGCTAAATTAATAAAAACAGTCCTTTTAAATAGTCCTATGTCTTTTTTACTTTTCAATCAGGTCATCTAGATGCACTCCTGAGGGGCTTGGTTCTGGGCAAACTAGGAAAAGCAGGACACAAGGCAACGTTAGATGAAGCCCGTCGTCGGTTTAAGGACCATGTGGAAGGAAAACAGGTTCTCTCTGCTGACCTGAGGAGTCCTGTAAGTTTCCACAATAAATTTCTTTGATTTCTAGTTACCTACATTACTCTATGAAACATGAAACTTCTTTAATACTAACCAAAACTGACCTAAGGACTGACCCACGAGCCATGTCTAACTCTCATATTAACATATCCCATTTGGGTGGTTTGTAGCCAGCTTCTCATTTAAGTTTCTCTGCCACATGGTGCTTCTGAAAGGTGATTCCCCTGTGCACATTCCCCAGGGAGAGTTGGTGTGCTGTGCTATCACGACATGCCATTTGTCTCTGTGGTTGTTCATGGGGTTTTTATATCCTTACCCTGATTTGTATGTACCTCCACACTTCTTGCAACGTTTTTACTTGCTTTCTGTATTTTTGTAACGTTAAAATACCTTGAAACAGGGTAGATGTACTCAGATAACTTCCTTTATTGTCTTGTAGGTCTATCTGACCGTTTTGAAGCATGGTGATGGTACTACCTTAGACATTATGCTAAAGGTGAGTGATTTGGAAAAGGCTCCTGAACTTGGATGGACACAGAGAACAGCTTTAAATGGTTAAAAGAACAAAATGTCCTGGCAAAAATATATGTTTATTGCAGACATGCAAATATTAAGAAACTGGTGGGGGGGGCTGGGATTGTGGCTCAGTGGTAGAGCACTAACATGTGTGAGGCACTGGGTTCAATTCTCAGCACTGCATATGAATAAATAAATAAAGGCCCCATCGACAACTAAAAAAAAAAAAAGCTATGGGAACTGGATGTGGTATTGCAGGGCTGTAGTCCCAGCTACTTGGAAGACAAAGGTAGGAAGATTGAAGGTTCATGGCCATCCTGGGGAACTTCAAATGCAAGGCCCTGGCTCAAAAAATGGGGTTGTTGCTCAGTGGTAGAGTGCTTTCAGCCTGGCATATATGAGGCACTGAAAGGTTCATCCACAATTAAAAAAATACTTATTTTTTTAAAAATTACCACTTTACCCATGTTGTTTATACATGGGTTTCCTTTTTAATAATATAAAAGTTATATTTTGGATTTACTTTTCAATTAGACATCAAGGTCCCTTCTCAGTCTGAATATTCTATGAACCTGTGGATTATAAATCATGTGAATGAAATACATATGAAATGGGATATTTTGTGGGGTTTTTTAGTCTATTCCATAAGTGTATGGGAAAAAAAAAAACAGCAGTTCTGAAAGTTTTATGGCAGAAGCCATAAATTACCATCTTCATGTTATGCTATATTTTTAAGAAGTTATACAAGTATATGTATTTACGAGAAGTTGCATTTATTAGCATAAGGCAGTGTACAGTATCAATATAGGAAGAGTTCTAATGAAGGCAGAATCCGAATTTATTTCATTTTATTAATGTGGTGCTGAGGATTGAACCCGGTGCTTCATGCATGCTAGGCAAAAGATCTACCTCTGAGCCACAACCCCAGCCTCAAATCAGAATTCTTGAAGAAACCATTCAGTGGGGCTGGAGATATAACTCAGTGATAGAGTATTGCCTAGCAAGTGTGACACCTGTAGTTCAACCCCCAACACTGCAAAAACAAACATACAAACAAACAGACAAGCAAACAGTTTGATGACAAGTGATTATTTTCTGTTGGTAATTTAGGAATAGCGTTAAAACAAATGCTTGAATGCCTCTTAATAGTATATTTTAAATGTGGTACTAGAGTGCCACCTGGTGGACTAATATATATCAGGGTTATCTTCCGGGAAGAGATGCTTCCTGAAAGCTTGAGTTCTGTCCTTGAATATTGCAGCTGAAAGGGCCTTACAAATCATCAGTTTGTCCCCCTCACTTTACTAGTGAGTGAACTGAAACCCAGAGAGGCTTAGGACTTACTTTAACCTAGGCAAATGCTCTGCCCTGAGCTACATCCCCAGCCTCTGCAGTTCTAATTTTTAAAAATATGATGTTTTGTTTCTAATTATGAAAAAAAGATTTTCTGTATTCACTACAGAAGATTTAGAGAGTAGGAAAGAATAAAGAAGAAAATAAAACTTACCTGTAATTATTTTTTAAAAGTGGATCACAAAATAGCATGTATAATATAATCTCATTCCAGGTTTAGCAGTGTGCATATAGTAGTAATTTTACTTTTTCTTTATGCATCTCTGTCTTATTAATATTCCACATTCAGTGTATGCTACTTTTACAGTTAAGAAATGTGAATAGGGCCAGGCGTAGTGGCAACTTATAATCCTAGTGGCTTGGGAGGCTAGGTAGAAGAATTAGAGTTCAAATCCAGCTCCAGCAATTTAGCGAGGCTCTAAGCAACTTTGTGAGACCCTGTCTCAAAACAAAATACAAACAAAGGACTGGGGATGTGACTCAGTGGTTAAATATCCCTGGGTTCAATCCCCGTACCAAAAAAAAAAAAGAAAGAAAGAAACGTGAAGAGGGCTAGTGGTATAGCTGTATAGCTCAGTGGTAGATTGCTTGCCTGGTATGTGCAAGGCCTTGAGTTTAATCCCCAGGACTCCAGAAAAGAAAGAAATGTGAAGGTACATGATGCCACTGATCAGAGACCATCATTAATTAGTATTAGCATTTTGGTGTGTTTTCAAGTTTTTACCCTTCACATTACATTTTTTTATATATGTAGGATTATTTGCTTTGTCTCTTTTTTTTTTTTTTTCATTTCAATATCAAGAACATGCTTATGGGGGCTGTGGCTGTGGCTTAATAGTAGAGCGCTCGTTTTGCATGTGTGAGACCCTGGGTTCGAGTCTCAGCACCGCATAAAGATAATAAAGGTATCGTGTCCATCTACAACTAAAAAAGAAAAGAATATGCTTATGTCATGAAATATTCCTAAAATGTAACCTTCTATAGTGCATCTTTTGAGCCAGGCATAGTGGCATATGCCTGTAATTCTAGTAACTCAGGAGTCTGAAGCAGGAGGACTACAAGTTCGAGGCCAGCCAGGGCAAGTTAGCTAGACCCTGTCTCAAAATGTAAAGAATTTTTAAAAGGATCTGCTGGGCGTGGTGGCGCATGCCTGTAATCCCAGCTGCTCAGGAGGCAAAGGCAGGAGGATCGCAAGTTCAAAGCCAGCCTGAGCAATTTAGTGAGGTGCTAAGCAACTCAGTGAGACTCTGTCTCTAATAAATACAGAAATTGGGCTGAGGATGTGGCTCAGTGGTTGAGTGCCCCTGAGTTTAATCCCTGGTACTCCCCCCAAAAAGGACTGAGGATGTAGTTCAGTGATAAAGTGCCCCCAGTGTTCAGTTCCCAGTACACCCCCCCCAGAAAAGCATCTTTTTAAAAATGAATAAGTAATTAGGATAGCTATTGGGTATTTAGATTATTTTCGTTTTCACTATTATAAATTAAATTGATGATCTTTAATGGTATAAGATTACCAATGATTAGTTTTGTTCATAAAACATAGACCATTAACCAGATATCAGTGCTATAAAGTATTTGGCCAAGACAGATGTACTCTTTATATGTTGATGTTAAACTGCTTAGAACTGATGACAGGCTACTATTATTTATCTACTGAGCACTTACATTTCATGACTGACTGACTGTAATGGCAAGGGACAAATTTAGTGCCCAACCATCTTGACAAGTATTTTTTTTTCTTAATATTTTTTTTTTAGTTGTAGATGGACACAATATCTTTTATTAATCTATTTATTTATTTCTGAGGATTGAACCCAGTGCCTCACACATGCAAGGCAAGCGCTTAACCACTGAGCCACAAACCCAGCCCACGACAAGTATTCTTTTTAATGTAATACCTTGACAGTCCTACCCAGTGTTTTACCTTATTGAAGGAGAAGCTTATATAAGCATATGGAGAATTTCCTGGGAAGAGCTAACTATCTCTGTTTTTATTTTTTCCCTGTAGCTTCACAAACAAGCAGATATGCAAGAAGAGAAAAACCGAATTGAAAGGGTCCTTGGGGCTACTCTTTTGCCTGAACTGATTCAAAAAGTCCTTACATTTGCACTTTCAGTAAGTTACAAGGAAAACTGCTTTCAGAGGGAGTTGTTACTCACTCATCTGTGGCAAGTGTCTTTGATTCAGTATCCTCTTGATCTGCCCTTAACTTAGATTAAGGCGTCCTCTTCTTGGAAAACTGGTATAAACTTTTTTAACTGACTTCTCTTATCTCCCACTAATAATGAGACTCAAAATCAGAGTATTTGGGAGAGGAAACAAATGCTTTCTCTACAAGCTTCTGGTGCCATTTATTCCTAAAAACAAAGAATACATGTCTTTGATGTGGTTACTTAGGTATTTCAACAGTATGTTGCACTTTCTGGAACCAGAAGATGTGGAAATGCTAGACTTTTAATCTCTTTCTCTTCTTAGGAAGAGGTACGTCCACAGGACACTGTATCAGTAATTGGTGGAGTAGCTGGAGGCAGCAAGCATGGGAGGAAAGCTGCATGGAAGTTCATAAAGGACAACTGGGAAGAACTTTATAATCGATACCAGGGAGGGTTCTTAATATCCAGACTAATAAAGGTGTGTGAATTTTTTTATTTGAGTAGGTTGATAATCATGGATGTTATTGAGCAATATCCATGATTCAATAGACCCAAAGGTTCTTTCTTTTTAAGAGATTCCTCAAATAATTATTTGATTTGTTTAAGGGCTTCTGCATCCCTCTCCTTTACCTTCTATAACAAACTAAAGTTTTGAAGATAACAAAATAATTCATTTTTTAGGGTAAATGAAAGTTTGTTCCTAGTCTTTTTTGATTTCACTTACTATTTAAAAACCTTGTTTTTCAGCTATCAGTAGAGGGATTTGCAATTGATAAAATGGCTGGAGAGGTTAAGGTAAGGAGAAAGTACTGTTTACTTTTTTCTTTCAATCTAAAACATAAAAACACTAAACTTTGTTTTAATTGTAGAGGTATTGGGATAAAGTATCCCCCCCCCCCCCCCCCGCTTTTTTTTTCTTAGAGAAGGACTGGTTAGATTGTATCTTCTAATGTCTAAAAAATTTATAGTTGGGATAATCTTTGAAGATGTTGACTTGTGGTTGAAAGAGTATGAAATCAAGTCACTTGACCTGTGTCAATTTGTGCTATGTCCCATATTAGCTTTGTCTTTTTTTTAAATATTTATTTTTTAGGTGTAGATGGACACAACACAATGTCTTTATTTTTATATGGTGCTGAGGATCGAACCCAGGTCCCACCCATGCTAGGCGAGCGCTCTACCGCTGAGCCACAATCCCAGCCCCTTAGCTTTGTCTTTGAGGATGTTTTTTAACCCCTGTGAGCCTGTATCTTCATCTATAAAATAAGGTGATGATGAGATTGTTAGATTAGGTAACATGACTTCTATAGGTCTATTGTGTGCATAGTGAGACTAGATGGTTATGTGTGGTCTCTCCTTTTAGCCCTTAATAAAAATTGATAATCAGCTTAGTATGGCCCTTGGATCTGATAAAATTCAGCATTTGGGAGACAAATTTACTTTGATTAGAAAAATCTTAACTTTAAGCTTCCCATTGCATTTAACTGCTAAATATTTTTATATATAAGTATAGTGATTGTCAGGTGTGAATTTGGAAATTCTGAGTTATAACAGTTTTTTAAAATTTTTTAAATATCTTAAGTTGTAGATGGACATAGTACCTGTGTTTTATTTGTTTATTTTTATGTGGTGCTGTGGATCAAACCTAGTGCCTCACACATGCCAGGCAAGCACTCTACTGCTGAGCCACAACCCCAGCCCCTGAGTGTGTGTGAACCATTGTTAGGAATAGGTTTTAAGAATTTAAATCTTGAGAAAATAGTGAAAGATTTGGCTTCTACTGTCATCTAGTGTACATTATATATTGTATTATATAAACAATTATTGTAATGTTAATAGGTTCTATGCAGGAGAATTAAGTAATGGGTTTTGTGGCAGAGTAGTGGGAGGCTGATAAGGTAGGTAGGAGCTAGCTCATACATGTGGCCTTGTGGATCATATAAAGAATTTTCTAGACTGGAAAACCCTCAAATGGTTTATAAACATGATCTGATTTGTGTTGTAAAAATTTCAGTCTGTGTAGTGTGGAAAATGATTTAGAATGAGGAGGAAATTGGGGTGCTAATTCTCCAAGCAAGAGTGGCACAGCACGGTCTGAGGTTGTAGCTCAGTGGTAGAGCGCTTGCCTAGCACTTATGAGACACTGGGTTTGATCCTCAGCACCATATAAAAATGAAAATAAGTAAAATAAAGGCATTGTGTCCATCTACAACTAAAAGATAAAATTAAAAAATAAGAATGGCACAGCAGTAAGAATGGAGGAATTGAAAAGAGATTCAGGGGTTGATTTTGTTAATCTTTAGTTTTAACAATATTTACCAAGTGGTTTCTCTGTATTGTGAACATGTCTGGGAGGAAAGTCAAAGATAATTCCCAGGTTTCTGATATATAAATGTTGGTGCTATTTGTTGGAGATGGAACTGGAAGACTTGTATCCAACTTTAACTTAGTCACTGAGAAACCAGCCATGATTAGAAGCCTTGAAGCAAGAGCCATTGTCATCCTTGTAAATTGATTTCTAAAAGATTAGAGTTAATCTTATGAAATAGTCATTTTTCTCTTCTACACCTATGATGACTAGCTTAAAGGAAAGACCCCTATCATTTTGCAGGTTGGTATTTAAGAGCTGCTTTATTTTCATTGAAATTAAGTGTACTTCATTAAAAAATGGTTTGACTTTTAAGATTTTTGGGGGGAGGAGGGGTTACCAGGGATTGAACTCAGGGTCACTCAACCACTGAGCCACATCCCCAGCTCTATTTGACATTTTATTTAGAAACAGGGTCTCACTAGTTGCACCTTGCTTTTGCTGAGGCTGGCTTTGTCACGATCCTCCTGACTCAGCCTCTCACTGTGGGATTACAGACAAGCGCCAGCCTATTTAAGCATTTTGATAAATTACAATAAACAGAAATAGTTTTATTTAGCTGGGTATGATGGCGCACACCTGGAATCTCTACTACTAAGGAGACTGAGGCAAGAGGATTGCAAATTCAAAGCCAGCCTTGGCGATTTAGCAAAACGCTGTCTCGAAATAAAAAGGGCTGTAGTAGACCACCCCGTGATCAGTCCCAGTACCAGCAGAAAAAATTGTTTATTCTATGAAAAATATGAGACTATGAAGTATTATAGTATAAAACAGCAATTTAAAATTCTTAGTTTTATCATTCCTTACAAATTGATCTTTATTTGCGACAGTCAGAATGTATCAGAACATGTTGAGTTCATGAGTCCTGTGTGCCAGGTATTTTGCCAAATGTTTCAGTTGTCTCTTAAGTTTTGGAGTGCATATTTTTTCACAAATGAGAAAAGTGAGACTTAGAGTAGTTAATTTACTTAAAGTGACAGGCTGGTATTTTGACCAAGCCTAGATTTGAGTGCTACATCTAAATCCAAAGCCTAGATTAACCACTAAGCAATTACCCTAAGAGAAAGGCAGTGGGTTCTGTCTCTCTTGATTAGGTTTTGTACTTTTGATATTTGGGGGAGAATTCTTATATGCAGACCCAAGTATTTATTTGTTTTAGCCTGAGGGTAGCAGCAGTTAATTCTAATGACTGTGGCTAATGAATCCTATATGTAGGCCAGTGAGTACTTTTTCATAGCTTTGATATTAACTTGCTTTTGCTAGCAATGATTCTACACTATGGATTTTCTTACACCAGGCTTTCTTCGAGAGTCACCCAGCTCCTTCAGCTGAGCGTACCATCCAGCAGTGTTGTGAAAATATCCTGCTGAATGCTGCTTGGCTAAAGCGAGATGCCGAGAGCATCCACCAGTACCTCCTTCAGAGAAAAGCCTCCCCACCTGCAGTGTGAACCCTGAGCAGCCACTGCTGCGGCTCTTCTGCTGCTTCGCTGCCAGGATAAGGTGGAGCTACCGAACAGCTGATTCATATGCCAAGAATTCGGAGTCTTCTTTCAAACCAGTGGGGGTTGGACAATGAATGTAGTTAACTGGTTCCTGCTCACACTCCAGAATTAAATTCTATTGAAAAAGGAAAATCAGCAATTCAGCAAAAAAATAAAAATAAAAATGTAAATATGATAGTAATAAAGTAGAGCATAATGAAACTGTGAAACTTCCTGAAGCCTTGTCAGTGGTTAAAAGTATTTAACACTCGTTAATGACAGATGTTCTGTTTTTATAACTTACCAAAAGGAAACTAGAGGCTTCTAGGGAAGAGAATTTTTGTGCAGTGGGTTCTGCAAGCAGCCTACAAGCCCAGGATAGTGTTGTCCATTGCTGGGAATGGCTAAACATGAAAGGCTAATGGTTGGTATAACATAGTCCAAGTCTGTGCATATTTAAAAAAAAAAAAAAAATTTTTTTTTTTCTTTGTCATGGGGACTGACCAGGAAGATAACTTTTCCTGCATAACTCAATCTGAACCAAGGATTGTAGTTTTCCTCCTTGCCTCCCTTCTGTGTGACCCCTTGGCCAAAAAAGGAGAAAGAAAAAAAAAAAAAAAAGGTAAAAACAAAAAATCCTCTACCCTCTCTGGGTTTTTCCTCCCGTAGTTCTACTCCAGCCCCCAACTGACCCCGATGTCCTTCTTAGAGAGAAAGAAATATTAAGAAAACATCTTTCATAGCCACATTAAATAAGAGAAACTGATATACATTATTTTTCTTCCTTTTTTAAGATGACTTTTAAGAACCCCAAAATGCATATAGGTGAGACAATAGTAATAAAATGATTTTTAGCCAGTCCTCCCTGAAGGAGTTATTCTGCTAAAAATGGTCTTAGTTGTCTAACACGCCAACTATTGAACCTCTTCATAACAGTATCAAGTCAACTCTGGCTTCTCCTGGTTCATTTTTTGCGTGCAAAAAGCCAGTGGTAACTGCTACAGGGCCTATATAATAGTGGTAACTGGTTTCAAAAGCAATGACTATAAGCCTATGTGTGCCACTCTGCTTCAACAGTATATCCTACTAACAAGCCTCACCTACCTAATCCAATAAGTTTTAACTCTAAATTTCATTCCTTTCCCTTCCTCTTTACCTACTTTTTTCTTTTTTCCTTTTCTTCTTATTTTTCTTAAAAAAATTTTTTTTTGTGTGTTAACAGAAATTCATATTTGGTGTGGCTTAACTGTATTTCAGAAGGTCATCAGATTGTGAGATTGCTTCCTTGAAACATTTTTGTGCTATTGTTTTAAAAAATAATAATTAAAAAACGGTTGGCGTTAATAAAAATGTCAATGTGAAATTGATGTCCTGGTTTCTTTTATTCTCTTTGATTAGAAAGTGAAAATTTTACTGTTTCAGTAGGATTGTAGGAAGTTTTAGTATCATAGGATTCTTTGAGTTTAAGAAAATCTAGTTCCTGCTGGGTGCAGTGGCGCATGCCTGTAATCCCAGCAATTTGGGCAGAAGGATCACAAATTCAAAGTTAGCCTGGGCAAATTAGTAAGAGATCCTGTCTCAAAATAAAAAAGGTTGGGTATGTAGCTTAGTGGTAGAGCACCCCACTCCTGGGTTCAGTCTTCAGTACTGCCAAAAAAAAAATCTAGTTCCTGAATTCCTAATGAATAGAACCTAAACAGAAAAATCCTAATATTGATTCTAAATTAGTTCTAGATTCTCAAAAAATCTCTCAGAGATCCTTACAGTCAGTATTCAGGAGTTAACCTGAGACTTAACTCTTCTCTGGCACCAGGCCCAGGGCTGCCTGTGTCTATGCATGTGCTTAAGGTACAAAAATACTGGGCACCAAAAATACTGAGGAAAAATGCAGCTTCAAGACACAGTACAATGAATTGGACATAACTTTCCTTTGTTCATATGTGAATACATGACCAGTCTGACTCCACATTATACAACTGCAAGAATGGGATCCTAATTGGAATGGGTTGTACTCTAAAATACACTCTACTGTCATGTATATCTAAAAACAAAAAGGTAATGTAAGGGGGGGGGGATGCAGCTTTAATTGAAGAATTTATAGAATTTTGAAATCAGAAATTCTGAAAAGAAGTTATTTTAGTTGCAGCATACATGCAATTTGTGTATAACAATATGAGTTATGTTGGGGAAGAGTTGGTGCTGAGTATTTTCAATCCCCAAAGCAAAACCACTTTTCATGCTGCCTGGGCCCTAGGAGGCATAAATTTTCATGGACTGTATCAACAGGACCCCTTGCCTTCTGACTTCAGGTTGTATATAACCAACTAGTAAACCCAAAGATCAAAAGACATCAGGAAAGGATGGTAAAAATATATTCCTCTGGCTTTCTTACTAGCAAGGTCACATGGATTGTCTTGTGTCCCCCAAAGACCAGAGTTCCTATCAAGCGGCCCTCTTTAGTTTCTAGCTCTTCTTTCTTCTCCAGATCTAAAGATAGAACTAGCCAGGTGCAATGATGCAAGCTTACAATCCCAACTACTTGGGAAACTGAGGCAGAAGGATTGCAAGTTCAAGGCCAGACTGAGCAATTTAGGGAGATCCTATCTCAAAATTTATAAAAAGGACAGGGAATGTAGCTTATTGTTAGAGGGCTTGCTATACTAAAGGTGGCAGGGTAGAGGACTATTCTTTTATTAGCTCTGGATTTTATATATATATATATATTTTTTTTAGTTGTAGATGGACACAATATCCCTATTTATCTGTTTTTATGTGGTACTGAAGATTGAACCCAGTTCCTCATGTGCAAGGCAGGCGGTCTACCACTCAGCCCCAGCCCCAGCCCCAGCCCTAGCTCTGGATTTCTGTATTACTCCTTTTTTTTTTTTTTTTTTTTTTTGGTACTAGGGATTGAACTCAGGAGGACCCCACCCATGGGATGAGCCACATCCCCAGCCCTATTTTGTATTTTATTTGGAGACAGGGTCTCACTGATTTGCTAAGCGCCTTGCTATTACTGAAGCTGGCTTTGAACTCATGATCCTCCTGTCTCAACCTCCCGAGCAGCTGGTATTACAGGCGTGCCTCACCGCTCCCGGAACTCCCATTATTTCTTGATGGTTTCTGTGGACTCCATTCCCATGTCTTTGTTAATAGTTAGGCCTACCTCAGCTTGAGTGTGTTCTCTGTTTTCTACTAACAACCGATTTGGGCACCAAAGTCCTGATGCTTTGAGTCTCTAAAGGTCATAATCCAGGGGCTGGGATTGTGGCTCAGCAGTAGAGCTCTCTCCTAGCACGTGTGAGGCGCTGGGTTTGATCTTCAGCACTGCATAAAAATAAATAAAATAAAGCTATTGTGTCCATCTACAATTAAAGCAAATATATTTTTTTTAAAGAGAGAGAATTTTTTAATATTTATTTTTTAGTTATCAGTGGACACAACATCTTTGTTTGTATGTGGTGCTGAGGATCGAACCCGGGCCACACGCATGCCAGGCACATGCCAGGCGCATGCCAGGTGAGCGCGCTACCACTTGAGCCACATCCCCAGCCTGCAAATATATTTTTTAAAAAGTTTTAATCCAGCCTTTTTTTTAAAAAAAATATTTTTTTTCTGGTTGTTGATAGACATTTATTTATTTATATGTAGTGCCTCACATATTGCCAGGCAAGTGTGCTAATGCTGATCCACAGCCCCAGCCCTTAATCCAGCCCTTTATATATATATATTTATTTATTTTCTAGTTTTCGACAGACACAACATCTTTGTTTGTATGTGGTGCTGAGGATTGAACCCGGGCCGCATGCATGCCAGGCGAGCGTGCTACCGCTTGAGCCACATCCCCAGCCCAATCCAGCCTTTTTTATGTTGGATATTTTGTTATTTTCCAAGTAGCTCACTATCATAAATAACATGTCCACATTTCATAGATGAGAAAGCAGGCTCAGAAAAATTAGATAATTTTTTTATTCTTTTTTTTTTAAATATTTTTATTAGTTATTGATGGACTTTTATTTTATTTATATATACGTGGTGCTGAGAATCAAACCCAGTGCCTCACACATGCTAGGCAAGCGCTCTACCACTGAGCCACAGATAATTTTTTTATACAGCAAATAATTATCAGACCTGGTAGTCAGCCCAGGCTTGCCAGTTTCCAAAACCTGTATTCTTCCAGGTATCTGTCATGTCTCCACAGCTAAAAAGTTACCCAGTTAAGACTGGAGCTGGGGCTATAGCTCAGTTGGTAGAGTGCCTGCACATAGGCCCTGGGTTCAATCCCCAGCACCACACACACGTGCGCAAAAAAAAAAAAAAGGCTGAGTCTGGCAAGAACTTTAGAACTATTTCATAACTTTTCCTTATACTTTTTTTTTTGGTACTGGGGATTGAACTCAGGAGCACTCAACCTGAGAAACCCCCAGCCTTTTTTTTTGTTTTATTTAGAGAGGGGTCTCACTGAGTTGCTTAGGACCTTGCTAAATTGTTGAGTTTAGCTTTGAACTCCTCCTGCCTCTGCCACCTGAGCCGTTGAGATTACATGTGTGTGCCACCGGGTCCAGCTTCCTAATACTTTCTGGTTAAATATTTTAGTGGAAATCAGAGGAGTTAGGAAGAATTATGAGTGTGTAGATACTTCCTGTAGACAGTTTTACATTATTTTTGGTTGATAAGCAGTAGTCAGAGCTACTTACTTGAATGAACAAGGCTCTAGGCTCAATCCCCAGCACCAAAAACCAACAAACAAAGGCAATACATATTCATTTTCCAAACTTAAAAGAAAAAAAAAAGACAGGAGATAGCTCAGTGGTATCTAGCATACCCAAGGCCATGGGTTCATCCCCAATACTACCACCACAATGATAATGATAAAATAACAAAGGCAAAAAAAAAACCATGAAAGCTGGACATGGTCATATACACACCTGTAGCTACTCAGAAGGTTGAGTCAGAAAGATCACTTGAGCAAACAAGTTTGAGACCAGCTTAGGCAAAGTAGTTAGACTACCATCTCAAAAAAAAAAAAAAGGTGACTATGTCTTCTTACCAGGGATCGAACTCAGGGGCACTTAACCACTGAGCTACATCCCCAGACCTGTTTTGTATTTTATTTAAGAGACAGGGTCTCACTGAGTTGTTTAGTGCCTCACCTTTTTTTTTTTCCTGAGGCTGGCTTTGAACTTGAGATCCTCCTGCCTCAGCCTCCCGAGTTGCTGGGATTACAGGCATGTGCCACCATGCCCAGCTCCAGCTCTGTTTTTATACACCAGTTTGTGTATTTTGAGTATTTTTGGTAACGGAGATAGATAGGCTATGCCCCCTTTGCAGGTATCCAATGTAACCAGTGCTACTTATTTCCAGTCTTCACTTTTTGAAGCTCAGTGTGCCAGAGTTGATGTCATGCGCATCAAAGACTACTTGCGAAAAAAGTCATGGTTGGCAAATTCATAATTGGGGAAATGTGTCTTTCTTGTTTAGATTCATTGGTTCATGATATTTTCCCGTCTAACTTCTTAATGTTACACACCAGTTTTTTAGAGTGCACACATTTGAGGAATGTAGCTTTATGCTCCTTGTTGCTTACTTTAAAGTGGCTCATGTTATGAATTCAATACTCAATCTTCTTTTCCTCACTGGCAATGTGAACTGCACATATTTGTAACCAAGCCTTGCAATTCTATACATTATTGCCTGAATGTTCAACTTCAAATTTTGGCTAATATCACCATTAGTTAGATGTTGGAAAGTATATGGTGATGAACTTCACAAAGACAGGTAAGGAGAGACGTAACTGGCTTTCAAAAGGAGCAAGGGATACTGGGCTCAGTGGTGTACTCCTGTAATCACAGCATCTTGGGAGGCCCAGGCAGGAGGATTGCAAGTTCTAGGTCAGTCTTAGCAACTTAGCAAGGGTCTAAGCAACTTAGACCTTGTCTCAAAATAAAAATAAAGAATAAAGGGCTAGGGGCTGGGGATATAGCTCAGTTGGTAGAGTGCTTGTTTCACAAGCCCAATGCTCTGGGTTCAATTCCCAGCACCAAAAAAGAATAAAGGGCTAGGGATGTGCCTCAGTGGCAAATTGTCTTCTGGGTTAAATCCCCAGTACCAAAAAAAAAAAAAAAAAAGCGGGGTGGGGAGGTGTTCATGCATACCCAACTTGCAGGGACTTCAGCTGGCTAAAGTTGAAACAAGGCCATGAGTTCCTCCCACTAGGGCTTGCTTACCAGCCAAATGCCTGCCACACCAGCTGGAATGACTGTTACTTCCTCTGACTGCCTTATTAATTTGGTGACTATACCTTACTCCTTCCAACAAATGGGGCATGGGGCTGGGGATATAGCTCAGTTGTTAGAGTGCTTGCCTT